CCAACCAACGAGATGAGTAAAAGTTATAGAAATATATATAGTTGCTATGTCGGGCAAAGTTATATTTTGCACTGTTAAAATAACCATGTTTGCTAATCTAATAACTTGCAGTTCATTAAATTACGTAGGACTATATTTTTTGCGTTTCCCAATCAAACTTAGCCTTGCAGTTTCGAGTGAAAGTTTCACTCAACTTGTAGCTGTGTTATTGAATTCGGACTTCACTTTTATCGCTTGGTTTAGAATTTGCTTTTATATGTATATACAAGCTGAAATTCTTCATTTACAATAGCTCGTGTTTTTGAAAATCCTTAACTCTCAAAATATGAATTAGATGCACGCCAAATTTAATGGTGATTAAATTCCGCGATGCATAACATCGTCTCACCATAATCCGTAACCAATGAATTGTAAGTTATAAATTATAACCCATGAATGGGTGTTCCTTTCGTTATTAGTCGTGTACTAAGCGGTATTTGACTTTATACTTTGAGTTACAATTATATTTATTCAAATTTATTTCGCATGACGTTCCAAAATAACCCTTTAAGGAAGGGCGTAGCAACGTCTTTGAGTAATTCTCATAAAATGCGGTGGAACTCAGCCTAAATAAACAAACAAAACTTTTATCTTGGCTCTTCTGGCCTACGACGAAGAAGCAGTTGTGGTGCGCACTATACAACAGTTTAAAAAAATTCAGTTCCTTTAGCCACCGTGCAATAGTATCACAGGAAACGGGATGGTGAGGTTGTGGTGAATCTCCTCGTATAGGCGTCAATCGAACGTTAATTGAGGGGGACCATATTCGTATATTCTGTTATGCCAGGCTTATTTCTATTGAAAGTGAAGTTGTTTTCAAAAAAATATGAATATGGTCCCCCTCGATTAACATTCGATTGACGCCAATGGTTTGGTCAATTGCAAATAGTGTTTTAAACTTTTAACAATACACAGGCTTGGTTCGCTAGGATAAGCCAGAAACTCCTGGCGTCCCCAGTGTTTGCCAGGTTTAGACGTTTTTAAAAGTTGATCCACATAGAAGATATATATTTATTTTCTTCACGATCCATGCTTGTTATACTTATACATCAATTAAGTCATCTTCTTTCAAGCGACATACTGCACTCCATCAGTGTCTCCATGATATCGTTAGCCGTTTTTAAAAGTTATCGGGTCGCCAACGTAACTATAAGAATCATGCTACATAATACTATGATTATAGCAACAGTATTGGTACTACTATAACACTATGATTTGCTATCACACTTCTTATCGTGAATTTGCTCTACCTGTTGCTGGTTCTTTCGTCGCAATGTTCGGTTGGAATTTAAACTTAAATAATCAGTCGAGTTTTCTTCTTCTTCATCTTTTACGAAAAGCAATGTTTATTCCTTCCAGTGCCACTGCATAAAGAATGATATCACACTCGTCAAAAATTAGCACGAAAATATTTACCCTGAAGCGGGTCTATTATTTACCAGTGCGAATAAATTTGTTTTTATCTATTTAAGAAATCCACAACATGACCAAACAGCCTGCATGGTCCAATATATAGTGATCTGGTTACCTCTTTGGACGAGATCTCGCCTTTTTCTCCTTGCATTGATTACCATATAATGGAAACGCCCTTATAGTAGCGAAATAAGTAAATAAATGTAATGCTTACAATTTCGTAGTCTCCTAACCATTTTACCATAGGCTTTATTTGTATTGTTTCATAAAGACTCGTTATACGCTAATACCTCAAAAAATTTCTCGTCTTGTTTAATGTCGTCCTTATAGGCGGGATCATGCAGCAAGCAAACGCAACATTAGCACGCATAATGTGTTTTTATGTATATACGCGATTCGCTAATATGTCTATACGTGATTATATATATGATTATGTTTATACGTGAGTCATTCTCAAATGTTACTTATATAATATTGTGAAACGTCTTTAAAATAGGATAAAGTTTATTGATCTTACTCTAAAGCCGCGTTTACACTAGAGGCCTTGATCTGGCCTGGAACACGTTCACAATACTGTCTTTCTTGTTAATAATTGACAAAATTTCGAACCAGATGCAAAACTCGCCTAAAAATACTATAGTATCATGCACTTATTAAGTTGAGAATAGATCAGGACTAATTAAAAGCCATTCACATCACAAAAATCGTGCTCCAGGGCAGCTCCAGGCCTGTTAGTCTGTTTTCAGCATTAAAAAAGCGAAGTGCATATAAATTGCCCTAAAAAAGTTTGGCCATGCGTATATATATATATATATATATATATATATATATATATATATATATCTATATATATATATATATATATATATACAGTCGTTACCAAAAAGGTTGTCATATTGAAATATATATAAATACGTAAATATCAGTCTCGTGATTTTACTGCATACGTTAATTTTATTGGAAATCCATGAAAATCTTTACTAAAAATTTCCTAAATATAATGGTAAGGTTAACAATATTGATAATAATAAAGAAACAAGACAAAAATGAGCGAAATAAACAATTTTTAATGTTCACGTGATTGGTATTTATATATATATATATATATTGATAGGGACAACGTTTTTGATAACGACTGTATATATATATATATATATATATATAATATATATATATATATAATATATATAATATATATATATATATATATATATATATATATTGTTGAACATATCCTCGTAATATTACTGGACAAATTTTGTATTTAACTACCGCCATTCAATTGAAAGGTAGTCAAGCATTTTATATATTACGTTCATAGGTATACTTCAGTTAAAATTGTCGTCGACAATTCTAAAATATAAGCACGAAGCGAATTATATGAATATTGCTTTAATTAACACATAGCATTGTATATTTCTGAAGCGCCCTTAAATTTGCCAGCTCGTACAACCTTTCGCAAATTTCTTGCAAAGTTGTAATTAACTTTGCAATGAAAATTTATATTAGACAACCTGTTTGCAAAATTCAGTGCAAAAACTACCTTTGATGCAAATTTGCTATCGTGCAAATCTTGCGAAGTAGTTTGCACGCGTGTAAACGATTTGCAAACCAAACTCAAATTGAAAGGCTTGCAGTCATATATGCACACATGCAAACCCGTGGCAAATTTTGTTATAAATTTACGACAAATTTGCACGCGTGCAAAACCCGTGGCAAATTTAGTTATAAATTTGCTCAAAATTTGCACGCATGGCAATTTAGTGCAAATCTAGATCCAAATTTGCACGCGAGCAAACTGGTATGCAAAATTGCCGCAAATCGGAAGGTTGCGTTTTACAAAAATACACGCGTGCAAAATTGAAGCAAACTTAGTCTTTTGATTTGCAACTAGTTTGAGTTTGAGTAAATTTATGCCAAATCCAACTTTTCGCCCCGTGATAGTTATTAATAATCGGGAAAATTATCCCAAAACATGGTGAATATTGACAGGAAGAAAAGGATATCGAATGGCGAAGCGACAGTTGATTTTGCCCCGTTATCCACAGAGTCATCTTTCGCATCACACAGCGATGCATCTTTACATTTTGTCAGATTTGAACAGCCTGTTCTCACGTTCAAGTCCGTTTGGTAAAACGAGGGAAGCTTACAACTCCACGAAAATCCTGTTGGTGCCAGATAAGCCTTAACTGAAACTACCTCGCTGAAAGAACAGAATCTGTAGCCAGCTGGGATTACGATATAGGAGTGAGTTTTCACAGTATACGTGTTCACCTTAATGCGTTCTGTTGTATGAGACACGCCGCCCGATAACGCTACCATTTTCCGCACAATCGTACCAATCTCTGTCTTCACTTCTACGGCAGTACGTACGGTGCGGCCGGAGAAACGATGAGTTTTGACTTCATAGACACATGTATGGTTGTGAAATTTTTCACCAGGGCAAGCGGAAGAGAAGGCTTCAACTGCGCAGCGAATTCCAGGCTTTGAAGGACCTTCGAGACTAGAACACATGTATATTTGTATATGAAGGTAGCCTGATACGAAGGTAACGCGGATTTGATTACCATCTTTCTTTGCGAATTTCCAACTATAGATACTACTGTACTTATCACAATATATTAGCACATCTCTCCGCGGTTCTTCAAGTGGTATTTGCTTATTGTGGACACCCAAGACGACCTGACGATTTGCGATCCGAATGTACTTGTACAGCAAACATTTTCTGACATTCACTGAACTATTTGTGGCCACCAGTTTACACACCTTATCATCTTTTGTGTATACCATTGTAGGAAGAATAAGCTGAACCGGCGCTAGAACAGGCAGAATATCGCGCAACGCCATCTCAACTACATTTTGAGATTTATTGCAATGACGATCACAAAAAAGCATAATTATAAGCAAACATCTCAAGTAACTAAGCAATATTAGCCAATTATCATGGAGAAAGAAGTCACATGATAGTCTAACTATATTGTTTTTAATTGTAGCTTCATCATCGCAGTATTAGAAGCCTTCCATTTGACGTGTAGTATTAAAAATTAACTAGTTCTTCATATTTATCTCTGTTTTTGTAAACATTATACTATTCCCAATTTTTTTTGTACTATTCACACGCCCCTCCTAGAAATCAACTCTTATTATAGTTGAGTGGGGCTAGCGTGTTTAAATAAAGTGATGTATGTATGTGTGTGTGTGCTTTGATGTCACTGATCTGATATATAGAAGGCAAAAGTGAAGCCGGAAGTGATCGGCCGCCACCCGATTTAAAGGCCTCACTTTCGTATAATTTAATATAGATTTATATATATACACATTGATTGATTGCATTTTGTGTAAAACATTTGTAAAACACAAAAACAGACTATTGTTTGGTTCACGCGAAGTTTTGAGCTGAATTAATATAATTTCCGACTCAACTCCCAAGATGAAATTCATTTCTGCAAAGTGAATTGGCTCGAGCATGCTGCCATGCTCTGCAATGATGTCATGGTTATATCATACTTGGAATTCCCCGCTTCTTCTTAGAAAACATTGTCATCCAATATCATGCGCTTATAGCAGGTACCTATAGCGTATTTACCTATTTACCGACCGAATCATTTGCATTTGCCATGCTCTTCAGACAGCAGTTGATAAAATTATGATGATTTGAAACGGCGAGAAGATGTTTCCATTGTATGTGACTGGTTTACCGGGTGAAATTACACTTGACGACTTGATTATATATTTTCAATCGGGAAAATCAGGCGGCGGTGATGTTGATTATGAAGCTTGCAAATTGGATGGCGACAAAGCAGTCATAGTGTTTGAGAAGAAGGAATGTGAGTAGTTTATTAATCTAATGTTAAAATCGCCCCTAGCTTGAATAATGTTTAGTAATCAAATTTTGTGAACACTGGACTGAAGAAACTGTGTTTGCTAAAGACTATACAGCTAGGGCCTACAAGTGCAGTATAAATAGTTTATAACGAAAGCGAAAGAAAGAAACTATTTCAATATATGTGCTTTTACCATAGTATGGAATTTTTATTAATAAAGGAAATAATGATGAAAGTTAATTTACGCTCTCATGCGGTTATATTTTAGTCACTTTAGGCGAGAAAAGATTACTTTCACTTTGTGAAGCATTTCGTGCTAAACGACTTCCACGAACCGGTCGGTCGTGCGTGGCATCAGTGAGTTTAGGAAATACAACGGCAACCGCAAGTTGAACGTGCTCATCTACATTGGCATTGATCCTTTTAGACAAAAGCAAATTTAAATTACGTGGCCTTTAACGTTGCACACTTCCGTAGTTGCTGAAACGGCATCGACACCAATTTCACGGTGCCACATAACGCAGCAACAGTTAATGTGTTCGATGTTGTTTGGAGCGTAGGCAATTTTGCTGATCGACCATATTTATAAAAGTTAATAACTGTTTCAGAGAAAGAGGAAAATTGAAGAGGCAAATCAAATCAAGTCGATACTAACTCGTATTTTCTATAGCGTGTGTGTGGGTAATTTATTCACAAAAAAAGACCTCATGATCAAGCTTGGGTAATGACTAATGACTAATGTTAAGTTGTTTATATCTTAATTTTTGCATTGCAGATTTGGAAAATGTTTTACAAAGAAATCACGAACTTGATGGCCATAAGTTACGAATATCTGCCGAAGATGATAAACGTAAGAAACCAGTTCCGAAGAGACGAACAAGAAAGAAGCCAGAAGGAAAGCCGGAAGAAAAGCCCAATGACAATCAGGTAGAAACGGAAACATCTAGAATGAAGTCACTAACATTAATTTGTCAGGGAACATTGTCAGAACCTGTTTTCAGAGGCGTAGCGTGGGCGGAGATTCCTGCCCTCCCCCTGGTGAAATTCTGGGTTCATATCCTGGGGCCATCCTTAGCTTGACAGTCGCGAGTTACTAGTAAATCAGGCAAAAATGAGCAGATTTCACGTACTTGCTTTTAGGAAAAGGTTTTTAATTTTCTACTAACTTCGAGAAGTATATATATAATTTTTTACTTGAATTCGGTAAAAATTCAATTGGGGCGTTTACAAAATCGCGTCAGTCTGACGCCATTTTTTGGCAACCCTGCACCCCTATTTGACGTTGCGTGACGTATACCAATATACTAGAAGTAACCAAAGCAAGTGCGTTCGATGGTCGATTATATAGATATCCTTGATGTGGATCTAAATCCTTAAGGCAATGCGTATTAAAGAAAGAAATTCTTCACGCTGAGAAATCCTTTAAGAAGTAAACGCGGTTTGTTTAATTAGGACACGGCACAAAACCCGGAAGTCGGAGCATACGCAAAAACACGAAAGCGAAGCAGATGTCACATCCAAAAATCCGAAATGAAATCTTCTTCGTCCAACGCAATAATACCCTCTCAATAATTACCTGACGCTAACTATACATATATCCCTTCTCCCCACTGATGTAATAATAGAGCTCCACATATACAAATTGGGAGATACTTCATGTCTGACTCGTTCATATCATTCCACCATTTTTCAACTATGCAGATTTGTTCGCGGGATGCAAAACAAACGAAAACTGTAGTGACAAGCACGACCTCGTACCCTGGGTCTTTTCTCTGTGCTCATTCTAGGGGGAATTAATCAGCAATGTTAATTAATTAGCAACGACAAATATTTTTCAATTTTGTCATCAACTAATTTTCACCTCGCGTCGCCTGACTTCACCCGAGACACTCCCTCTGTGGCACTCTCTAAAACATCCCCTACCCTTTAGAGCGTTACGTATCTTGTGAGTTGTATAGTAGATCTACAATAAACGCGGTAAGGAGGAAATGAAAGATCCGGTGGATTTTAGTGGATACATGCATGTTCATGCCCTGAAGAGGCCGAGATGAAAAATTAATACATAACATAATTACATATTCGCAAATGAAAAAAGACACGCTGATTTTATAAAATTCGTCGTTATTAATAATCTTTCTATAAGTTTGTTTACATTGTTAGTTTGTTTGTGTTCATTGCTGTAACCGCTATCGAATAGCAACGTATCGCGGGCTCATTGTCGAAAAATAGTTTCAAAATAGTCGAAAAATATTACATGGCTAAAATCCAACTACGCAAAATGAAGTAAAGAGTCAGGGGCCGGTTGTATCAAAGCCGGATACCGCTATCCGCCAGATAGTGATTTTTTCAACCGTTCTAAAACTGCTCGAAAAGCGATAAATTTTCAGCTTGGAAGCAAAATTTATAAAGAGGATCCTCAATTTAGGAATAATAAGATTTAATCAAAGTTTTGCCAAATAACTGGCGATTTTGAAGCGATTGAAAAAATCACTCTCCGGTGGATAGCGCTATCCGGCTTTCATACAACCGGCCCCAGGTGCTATATATAAGTATTGTCGACAAAGGTTGGCTGGTTCTAGAGGGCGCACTTTGGGTTATCCGTTATTTCTGCATGCATGTCTATAACTTATGTCACGTCATTGTGCCAACCACTACCAACCACTAGCCATACCGAAATTAGTCAAGGCTGTTTTAGTGACCCCGCCAAAGAGGATATTTTTGCTTATTATATGTGTATAGAGATTTATGCACAGCAGAATGATGAAATATAAATCGTATTTCACTGTGTAAATAAATTTCACGCAATTTGATTGGACGTACGATATTCTTCACACGTGAAAAATTGTCCTATGTCATTTTGGCTGCAATTTGTTTACATTTTCTTTCAAGATGGCGTCGAAATATAGGAGTGAGATTCAAAACATAATTCTCATATTCAAGATATTTTTACATTCAGCACATCTCAAATCTTTCGGAATTCGGAAAGAATGTCTAACTTCTATTGAACAAAATTACAAAGAAACTGAAGGGTAATAAATATGTTTTCATGCATAAAGTTTCGATTTTGTTGTTGTGTTTTTGTATATTAAAAGCGTGTCGTTGTCAAATTGATCTCTATACACATTTAATAAACAAATTACTTCACGGTTGGCTCGTTTGTACGATTTTTATCATGCACTCGTTGCGAAGGATCGCAAACTCACTCGTTCGCTGCGCTCACTCGTTCGTTTTGCGATGCTTCACAACTCGTGCATAAAAATCGTACGCACTCGCCAACCATGAAGTAATCTCTATATATACTATCATTGCTGATTTGTATGAATATTCTCGTGTAATTATCCCTTATTATTTCTGCGTATCACGTATTAACTCTTTTATTAAAGAATCAACCAGACGCTGAAAAAGCTCATCTTGGTGAAGTTCGAACTGTTATCGTAAGTGGCCTTTGCCCAGATTCAACAAACGAAACTGTGGAAATGTTTTTTGAAAGTAGTAGAAGGTCTTGTGGAGGGAAAATAGAGAAACTGGAAAGATTGGAACCAGGCGTTACTCATATTACTTTTACCAGTGCTGAAGGTGTTGATTTTATTTTTTTGAGTTTTAACTTGATTTTACCTAATACGATAATCCAAATTTCATCCGTGCAAGTAAATGGGGCTTAATTCTTATCTTCTTTAATAAACACACAGAACGAGCTCAGAAGTATGCTTAACATCTCCAACGAATCCGAGTCAAGTTTCGAATGAAGTCTAAGACAGTTTCCAAATTATTTATTGACATACACAGAAACCTTCAATGTACGTTACTTTTTTGTATCTTTTAGTTGCAGCACAAGTATTAAAGCAGGATAAACTGGAACTGGATGGGTATCTTTTACAACTAAAAGAAAAACAACCTGAGTTGGTTCTTCCTGTGGACAGGAAAAAGTTGTATGTTGAAAACATAAACCCGAATACGAGCGAAGACAGCTTGTGGAATTACATGGAAATAAGAGCAAAAGAGGATGTGTCTGATATACAGTTTGGTGATAATGGAAATGCTTTTGTAACATTCAAACGAGAACCAGGTAACATTGTCGATCACAAATTCAACCGCAGTTTAAATCATCTATGTTGTTTACCATAGATTATATAATTATAATTATTATTCATTTAAAAGAATTCACAGGCTCTGATCAGCTAAAAGCCATGTGTGAAATCGTCATGTCCAATGTGTGATAACGGTTTTCTTGCACGCTATTTAACAATTAGACAACGAGTCCGAGTTGTCTATGAGCGACGAACGCGAGTTGTCTAATTGTTTTAGTATACACCCTGTACCTAGATATGTTAATTTCGAGAAAATAATCGATACACCACAATTACACCGAAAAATAATTTAATTAATTCAATTTTATACGCTCGCGCGAGCGAATTTTTCCCAAACGTTCACCATCACGAAAAGACAATGGTTGAGTAGCCAATCAGAATGTAGGATTTGTAATAGACAATAGTCGGGTGTATACTAATAGCCATAGCGTGTGATAAATAGTCGTATTCCACGTTAGACGTCGCACGGATAATTTGTAATGCTCTGATACAGCCATATTTTGATTACTGCTCTTCTTTATGGGGAAACTGCTGTGGAGTTTTAAAAGACAAGCTTAAAAAATGTCAAAATTGCGCGTCTATAGGATAATTGCCGGGGAAAATTATGAAGTCAATTCGGCTGACGTTCTTGCATCTCTTGGGTGGTTAACTTTAGGGTAAAGACGAATACGTAATCAATCCATATTAATGTATAGAATTTTAATAAACAGTTATTAGTTTGTGATAACCACAAACTTCGGCTTGATAATTCTTCATATCATGTGAAAACCGAATTCAATAATTTTTATTAATATTCATTTTTTGTAAACTTACGTTCTGATTGGTCGATTTGTACCACGTGAGTGAATTTTACATAGCAACAACGCCACGGCAGTGCCGTTATAGGATTTATTGCACGATCAAAATGGCGGCAATAAACAAAAAATTTGCCGAACTTAGTTATGAAGAAATTAATGTAATTATAGATGAATCCACACCGAAAAATACTAAACAGGCTACCGGTTAGGGTGTTTTAGTATTTAAAGGTAAGCATGTGTTGTTTATTTAAGTTTTAAAATGATATAAAGTCTTTACGAGTTTACTCAAAATGAATATTAAAAGCATTAAAGCACTCTTTTTTTGTGTATTATCGGGTTTTACATGCACTCGTTCAAAAACAATGAACTCGAAGTTCAATACTGCACTCGGCTTCGCCTCGTGCAGTATTGAACTTCTCGTTCCTTGTTTGTGAACTCGTGCATGTAAAACCCGATAATGCACTCACAGAGTGCTTTAATCCTTAAATAATATTAATATGATTATAATATATACACCGTAAGTATAATATAATTATAATATAGAAATACGACACGATTTCATACGTAGTTGAAACTTTCTTCGTTCATACGCTATTGTTGATTTGTGAGGAAGAAAAGGAAATTTCTGGGTAACTTTTACCTCTAATTTTAGTAAACCGAATAGTCTAACATAAATCAAACTAATTTTTTGATAACATATTTTGTATATTTTTTATATGTTTTTAACATAGTATGACGTCATGTAAAACATTACTTTGGGGTTTAACGGTTTTTCTAAATGTGTCTTTTTCATATTTCGCAGATATGAAGAAAGTGTATGACTACAAGAAGAAATTGGAAGGAGCTGTATTAAAGATTTCCAATCCTCCAGTATGTAACAGCGTTTTAGTAACAGGACTCTCTAAGAAGACAACAAAACAAGGAATTGAGATGTACTTTGAGAATGAACGAAATGGTGGAGGCAAAATATATGGGGATATTATATATCAAAAAGATAAAGGAATAGCAGTCGTCTCATTCTGTGACCCAAATGGTAAAATTACATCTCATAATTTGTTTCATACCCTTTCCTATAATTATTGCTATATATGCCGAGTGTCATAAAAATTAAGATATCACCTAAAAATAAAAGAGCCTTTAAAAGGGGATCACATTTTAAGATCGAGCGGTGGAAGAGGAACGATTTATATTCCGTAAGAGCTAGCTGAGTTGTGAGTTTTTGAGCTAACGGTTATTGAGTAAATAAATTTTAGTTAATTCTTTTTTCGCTGTTAGGATGCATTTCATCTGAATTTGGGCTCGAGTTCGCTATATCATTCTGCAAAGACACAAACCACGAATGAATGACGATTACACCATGGTTTTTGTCTTCGAAAAGGGTTTTCTTTCAATAATGTGCAAATTTGAAGTTTGACAAAACGATGTTTGTTTGAAGTTATTCCCTAGTTAGGAAGATTTTGCATTGTTTAAATGTTTTTTTAAGCATCAGTTTTAAGGTTAATTAGTAAGCCTTGAGAGTCCAGAACATTCCTGCCTTGTAAAATTGTGCTTCTGGTCTGGTACATTTGCTCTGCGTTTATATTCTTTTTTTTCTTCTTGCAGTCGTCAGGAGTTTAATCGACAAAAGGCACAAACTAGATCAATCTCTCCTGACATTACGTCAACACCATCAATTCATGGAAACAATAACAGAAATAACCACTAGGGTGGTAAAGTTAGATGCACGTGTATTGGATCATGCTGTCAGGAATTTTGAGAAGGAACTTCTTGATCTGTTTGGGGCTAAAATACTCGAAAGTTTGAAAGAAAATAACGAAGAGATGACCTTGCCAAGCGAAGCAGCAAATGAAATGGAAAAATACATGGCCGAATTTTCAGTCGAAAAAGTAAAAATAAGTAAAAAGTTGTTAGATGATTCCAGGAATGAGCTGGAAGATATGATAACAAAGACGAAACAAGCCAACATTAGTGTCGTAACAAATGAAGAACAACTACGAATAGAGCTTGTTGGAAAGAAAGCTGACGTAAAGAACACTCGTGGTGAATTTCGGGGTGCAATTGCCAAAATGGAGAAGGGGTTAAATATTGTTACCGAGGAGATTCCTAATGTACCCAAGACAAAGTTTGCTTTACTCTCCCTTCACGGTGCCATCGAAATGTTGGAAAAAGATTTTCATGTGCAAGTAGTGATTGAGCAACGAAAGAATGCAATTTTATTGAAAGGAACTGGAAAACATGTTTCCCATGCTAAAATGGAAGTGTTACAGAAATGTTCTCAGATAATAGAAGAAACTGTTGATCTCAACAAAAATGAAAAACGTTTTCTTGAACAAGGGGGACTCGATTTAATAAATGACTGTATGAAACAAATGAGATTGAAAGGAATGATTTCTCTCAGCCAGGTAAAGGGTAACAAAGCTAAGATTCTCGTTTTCGATGGCGCTAAAGTTGCAGATGTTGAATCGCACTTGAAAATCAATATGTATCAAAAACAGTATACGCTTGATGAAGACAGTCGCACTCTACTCAACAGTAACAAATGGGAAGAATTTTGTAGAAACGTTATGACTGGTACCTCAGTTATGATATTCACAAATCAAAAGTCAGCTGAAATTTCATTAATTGGAAAGAAACCCGAGGTGGAGCAATCTTATAATAGTTTGGAAGAATTCATGAAGCGCAATACCATCGTGAAAGAAAGTGTTGATTTAGAAGAGGGATATTTGGGATACTTAACGGAGTACTGTGAAGAACATATTCGGGCGATCGAAAAAGAGTTGGAAGAGCATTCTGTAAGGGTAAATTTTGTAGAAGATGCTGAAACGGTAATAATAAATGGTACCAAGGAGGGCGTTAAAAAAGCTAGGAAGCAGTTGCATGATATTGTGTCGACTATAGCCAAAGATACAATCTTTTTTGACAAACTGAGAAGCCAAAAATACCTGAAATCCGAGGAAGGGAAAATTTTAATCGAGGGAGTGGAAGCGAAGAATAAATGCTTGATCCGACTGACAGAAGATAATGGAAGAATATCTACGACAATTTCCTCGACTAGATCGAAGCCACAACCAGGCAAACGAACTTCGAAATTGCTGTGCAGCTATGAAACTCAAGAAAAAATCTCACTAAAAGTTTACAAAGACGATATTACGGCCCATCGCTGTGACGTCATCGTCAATGCAGCTAATGGCGACCTCAAACATATTGGTGGAGTGGCAAAGAGTATTTTAGATGCCGGAGGAAGAGAGATACAAGACGAATGCGACGAAAACGTCAAAGAAAATGGAAAGCTTTTTGACGGAGAATGTTTCAGTGGAAGTCCAGGAAAATTGCCTTGTAAAGTTCTGGTCCATGCTGTCGGCCCTCGTTGGGATTCAAACAATCGGAAGAAGACACGCAAATTGTTGAGTGTTACCTGCACGAAAGCCCTCGAAGAAGCGATGCAATACCAATCAATTGCAATTCCTGCAATCGGAAGTGGTATTTTTGGTGTACCGAAAGATGTTTGCGCCGAAGTCATGATCGAAGCCGCCGAGGAATTTGGTAGGAAATACGACAATTCTAGTTTGAGAGAGATTCACTTTGTCAACAATGATGATGAGAGTGGGCACGTTTTTGTCAAGAAATTTCGCGAGAAATTTCGTGGACGACCATCGTTCATGGATAATGAGGGGAATGGTAACAGAAGAAGAGCTCGCCCTTCGGTGCAACCGCGTTTCCGAGGAACCCAGCCCCCAAAAAGAACACAGGAAGCATATCCTACAGAAGATGTTTCACGAAGACGAAAGCCAGATGATTTGATTATTACGAAGCAGAACATGAAAATTTCAGTAGTTGTTGGTGACTTGTCAACATACAAGGTAATGCCGGTTACTGCATGCTAGCTATATTATATAAAAAGGATAAATTAATATTAGTCAGATAGTCGACATTTGTCCTATAACACCTTCTGGCTTGTAGTCGATTTCCACTCGAAAGACCCTTCAATCGATTAGAAATTATACATCAAGTAACCACTTCCATAGTACGCGTGAGGTCAATTTTATGTCTGACTTTATTATTAACGCGATAAAATTAGTCGATGCTGATTAGTTGAGAGGAGTACAGTTATAACGATTTTGTTCGTACAATAAGGGATTAAATACTGATGTCTAATCACTTGAACCGTTAATGTCTTTTTTCTGCTTAACTTGTTATATAGGCCGACGTGCTTGTCAACACAACGGGAGAGAATCTTAAGCTTGATTCTAATCCTTGTGGTAAAGCTCTGAGCAACGAGGCGGGTCCAACACTGCAAGCCGAATGTAGCAGGATTGGAAGTTTAAAGGTCGGTCAGGTGGCTGTCACAACAGGAGGGAATTTGCTTTGTGATGAGGTGTATCATGTTGTGTGTGTCCAGTGGAGCGGAGGACAAGGAGAACAGGTATGCTACTATACTTTCTACAAAACAAAACAAAACATTGCTTATCATATCGTTGGCATACCTTTCATAGCTCTTGGCTTGAAATGTATTCAGAAAGCAATTTGACTGAACTTGTAGGTTAGGTTAGAAAAAAGGTTTTCCAGACCGAAAGAATCTGTTAAAGACTTCGCTCTAGCTATCGCAGCTATTTCGGTCACCTACACTTCTCTAGTGATGATTCAGTGATGATTTTCCCGTTCACGAGCAAAAGTTTGCTTTTTAGGTGTTGAGGGCGATTATAAAAGACTGTTTGAAAAAATGTAACTCAAATGGAAAGACGTCCATTGCTTTTCCGCCATTGGAACAGGAATATTAGGTTTCCCACATGATGTTGCGGCAAAGATATTTTTCGAAGAAGCGAAAGGGTTTGGGACCAAGTTTCCGAACAGCAGCGTAAAGGAAGTCAGCTTTGTCGTTTACAGTCAAGATGCCAAGTCGATTCAAGCGTTTAAGAATCAATTGCAGCAGCAACCAGAATCGAGCACAAACGAAGGTGTCAAAAGTGAGCCAGCTGTTAAGTCGCAAGATAGATGGAGGAAAAAACCAAGCACTCCACACGAAACAAAAGATAGTGTTTTGTGCGTTGAGGTTGGTAATGGTAAAAAAGTAGACATCGTGAGAGGGGACATAACGAAGGAAACAACTGATGTCATTGCCCACTTAACTAACCCCGGGCTGGTTTTCCATAGTGGAGTGGCAAACGCTCTATCCAGGGCAGGAGGAGGGGACATAGAGGGAGAATGCGAAGAAAAGGCCAGATCAGCAAAACCTTCCATAACAACTACCGTTCTAACAACTGCAGGACGATTGAATGCAAAATATATTGCTCACATGGTTGCTTCTAGTGACCCCAGTTCAAACGAAATTGAAAAGTGCATAACAAATTGTCTGAAAGAAGTTACAGATAAAGAGTGCGAAAGTATTTCATTTCCTGCGGTTGGAACGGGCTCCCTGAAGCGAAATCCTGAGAAAGCCGCGACAACAATTTTTTCATCCATCGTACGCTTTCTGCAGTCAAGTTCTGGATCAGTCAAAAATGTCCGCATTGTTGTGAAGGATGACGAACTGGTCACGGCTTTTCAAGCGTCAATAAAGGCTTTCAGTGAAGGTGAAGAACCTGGAATGTTTAGAAAGTTCGCAAACCTTTTCTGGAAAACCGAAGCACCAACTTTAAACGTAAAAGAGAATTATATCCCTGAAGCTACGACAAAACTCTTTTTAGTTATCTACGCGAAGAATGAAGCCACTGTCAAGAAAGTAAAAGAAAAAATCCTGAATGTTCTCGAATCTCACAAGAAGAAGGATAAATTAGAGAACCCCAACATTGAAAATTTGTCCAGTCAGCAAATGAGAGCAATTGAACATTTGTGTAGAATGAACGATCTTGAAGTTGATATTCAAAAAGAACTGGGTCGCATTGTCGTTGTTGGTCACAGTGAGGATGTTACCAAAACGTTTAGCGAAATTTCTAATATGTTTAAAGAAATTGAAGAAGCTGAAAGAGAAAAGGAGAAGGCTGCCTTGCATGCTGACTTTGCTGAGATAGTTTCCCAAGGCGTGCAGTGGTTTTACGAAAATCCAACAGATGGCAGCCACGAAGATTACGATAAGCTTACAAACGCTTCCATCGAGAAAGCCTACATCAGAAAAGAAAAATCAGTTATCTTCAGTTTGTTGAATGAAAGATGTGAAATTGTATTTGATAAGATGGAGGAGACCAATTTAGACACAAACCAGAAGATAAAGGTGATCAGAAAAGATCTTAAAGGTAAACTTAGCCTATACATTTTTGTGAAATTTTCAGGGTCCATAGGATTTTTTTAGTATGGGAGGAGCTTTTTAATTTCACATTTTGTCGACTGAAAATAAAATTTGCCGACTTGTTGACGGGGTTCTCCGTCTGGTTGTCATATAAACATGTTCCCCGTTCATGTTAGTCCAAACATGAGAGGTCCTTGTGACCAACGCACAGAGGGTATACGTACGCTAAATTGCTAAATCGGTAGTATTGGTAAATTTGATCAAATTGTCTCTTAATTATTGTTTTCAGCTGAATCTGTGTCTATTCCTGACTATTGGGATCCTCAGCCACGGGATGCGAATGGTAAAGAATTGGCCGTACATCTTGTTACCCTGAACCCTAACGATCCAAAACAGAAAGACGAGCACAAGAAGATCTCTGATCATTTTAATCAAACAGCAGGAAATCAACGAATTCAACAGATCCAGCGAATCCAAAATCCATCGTTGTTTAAGCTGTATCTTATAATGAAAGAAAGTTTAGACCAAAAAGGCGGAAGTAATGAGAAGTTCTTGTTCCATGGTACGGCTGGCGACAAGTTAAGCGAAATTAACGCGAAAGGTCTGAATAGGAGCTTCGCTGGAAATATCAATGGTAAGAAATACAACTAATTTAATTAAAGTTGTCCTCAAGTAAAAAGTAAGTAAAACCCAAGACAGTATAACTCGATCGACCTCTACGACCGAAAAGCACGTAGGGCCTCAATTTTTTCTGTTATGTGATTTTTTGATCGTGCAACCAAATGTTGTAACAAAGCAGGGACAATATAAACGGATTTTAAGCAAGTCCAGTTAGGTCGTCGAGATTCTAGTTTAAAGTTTCAAGTCAGAGCAGAGGGCTTTTACTTAAAACGTCGAAGTCCTCTTTATATTTTTAGCACACTACTAAGCACCTTTCATGAATCTGACTCAGTGCTGGTTTCCATGCAGTCAGAAAATTATCGTGCAGACCAGATTGGACAGTATGGTTTCCTTTTTGCTTAAGACAATTAGTTTTGGTTGAAAACACATTGATAAAACAAACTTTTCTGTCCGATACGGTCCGGAGGAAAATTTTCCTGACTGCATGGAAACCAGCCTTCACGCATTTTCCACTGACTGATCTGATACTGACCTGATATATATGTACTTCAACGACAACTTGTACTTCAACGACAACTTCAGCATTTTAAAACAGCCTAGATACGATTATATAAAATATGGAAAAAAGAGATCAGTTACTTTATTTTTTTTTCGGTCCGAGTTCATATTTTGGCGTTTCCTTGCAATCTGATTTGCTACGCGAGCGGTCCATATGAGGCCGAACAGACCACGCGAGATTTAAAAGCACAGAGCCAACGCTAAAATATGAATTCGGTCCGCAAGAAAAAAATAAATCTTTTATTTACCTGTTTAGTCGGTCCGTATAGGGAAATATTTCCCTCGGTCTCAAAAACGTTCCTCAGCCTTCGCCCTAGCTTGGGCTGTTTTTGAGACATTGGAAAATATTTCCCTATTTAATATACGGACCTCCAATCTGGTAAATGACTATATATATATATATATATATATATATATATATATATATATATATATATATATATATATATATATATATATATATATATATATATATGTTTACTTGGAGTTGTATCTGGTTTAAAACAATTTATTAAAAAGATTCTAGATTAAAAAGTACTAATCTAGAATCTTTTTAATAAATTGTTTTAAACCAGATACAACTCCAAGTAAACATGTTTTCAACTGGTTGCCTAAACAGCATATATATTATAATTATATATATATATTTATATATATATATATATATATTAATTATATATATATATATATATATATTATAATATATATATATATATATGTAATATATATATATATAAAAAACTTCTCAGAATGAATATATATATATATATATATAACTTCTCAGAATGAATGCTATATTATTACAGTGCGATACTCAGAAGTCTCGGCAATGATACAGTATTACTCCACAATATTACTCCACAATATCAGTTACCCTGTGATAGGTTTCCTTTCAGCTAGTTAGAACAGGTTTTGAAAATTTGAAAGCGCGCAATCGCGGGTGACCGTTTCTAATATTTTGAACAACTTGGCAATCAAAATTGCAATATTAGTCTGAGACAATATCACAGTGTTGTTCAGAAGAGAACATCCGGTTTGACTGTAAATTGTAATGAAATTATCTTTTAAAACCACAAACAACAAGTATACGATTTCTTTGTTCGTTCATATAGGTATGAACTACGATTTACTTCGGCCCAGCGCTATACAAGTATTTAAATAATAACAACTAGAGATGTAGACCGTCTGAAATTTACCTATATTGTGGGATAATTTAAAGTTGTAGTATATGTTATCCACAGGTTTCTTTACGAATGGTGTATTATTTAAATCGAAAGCTCGAAAAAAAATTGACTTTTCGTCCAATACAAGTTTCCAGACTGACCTATACAAGTGCCCTAACCCAGTGTTATAAAATGCGACCTATAATACCCGACCGAATAATTTATGATCTAGCACCACAAATCTGCGTTTATAATCAGTCCCAAAAATGCACTTTAGGAGTCGCTTTTGGTAGAGGTGTTTACTTTGCAAGAGACGCTCAAATGTCCGCCGGATATGCTCCGCAACATGCGTCGACTGGTCAAAGATATATGTATTACACACGAGCTGCAGTCGGGCAATACGCCGTGGGTAACTCAAGCATGGTGGTACCACCAAAGAAATCAGGCAATGATTCCTACGATTCTGTTGTCAACAACGTAACAACTCCAACAATCTTTGTCTTGTTTTATGATAATCAGTATTACCCAGAATATTTGATCACCTTTGTTTAAAGTGCATGATGTTTAATTTGTATTATTCATGCGGTATTGTCCAAAATATTTTTAAATCAATTTTTTATAATAAATAAGAAAGAGTTCGAGATTGACGTGTGTCATTTGTGACGAAAAGTATAGCCTACTAACACCGGCACTCTTCAACCCCTGTATCTTGAGTCACGCGGTATTGCCTATTGCAATTGGTATAGGCACGACGTGCCAAGGGTCCTAAAGGCAGATTTCCACGAGTTGCATGCTTAAAAGCCTAGATCTAGTCGGTCGTTCAACAGCTAATACAATTACAATGCTAATACAATCTCCAATGACGTCGACCAATTTTTATGAGTTTAAATATTACCCTAAATGGGGTGTATACGATTTAATAAGTATGCACATGTTATAGAGCAATAAAGAAAATCGTAAACGTCATAAGTTAATCAAACATCATTTATCTCGAACTTTTTCTTATCGTGATTATTGATTTTGTAATTATGGTTTTTCGTTATCTTATATATCACATAATTATTAGCATTTATGGATTTTAGAATAGGGGGCCATGCACCGTATAGCTGGCAAGTAATTTTCAAAGGACTGTTTCAGCTGGCCAGACTATTGGCAGTTTTATTCTTCTCTGGAAATACCATTCTGCCGTTTATGCCGGTCAAACACAAAACTTAGGGAGTCGTTTGATAGTCCTCTCGAAATTACTGTTGTTTGTTGCAAACCTATCACTTAAACGCACTTGATTTTTATCGGTTGATTTAGTATTATTAGTGTAATCATATAGTATAATAATTTGATATATTGGGTATATGGACGTAGCTAAATGTCACAGGCTGCAGGAAGGGGTCGTTTTGCTGTTCTAAGTTTAATTTACTATGGCAGAGTTTTCAGCAAAAATGCATAGAATTGCAATATTTTACTTATGTTAAAATGAATGTACCGAACAGCAGCTATCCTTGAGAGAAACGACGGTGCAAACACGAGTTTGGCATTTGCTTTCTTTATATTTATAATTCTATTCACAATACAGCTTGCATGAGGAAAAGTTGACTCACTGCATGGCGCATGCTAAGTTTTAGTTCACATCATTTCCGGGCATCACATCATCGGGCAAAAGTATAGGTTTATCTGGGAACAGACAGTTGCATATTCAGGTGCGAAATTATATCGTGCTGGTGAAATTAATTTGCGAAAGGTCGGAGTTAAAATCGTGCTAGAAACAATCTTCTGTTTCGACAGCATGCACAATATTCTGGACGTACGCAGACTCGTTCCCAGTCGCCCTTGTCTTTGATCGATTGTGTTGAAAAATGGTTTAAATTTGACGCAATGACCGCTATTTTCCTGAGTCTGTGACTTGTTTTACATATATTGTGTCGTCATTAATAAATTGTTTCATAACGTATCATATTGTATTTATTTTACTTATTTCTATACTCTAGAAGCCCTACACGCCTGTATTGAAAAAGCTCACTAACAGATTTGGGGTAAAAATTTTAATATCAAGCTCTTATTTGGGTGGAAATATCGTCATAGAAATGCTGAGGACTATAGGCTGAGATATTTTAGACTACACGCGTTAAACATATAAGCCACATTAACACCACAATCCATTTATTAACACAGCACGGCTAAAGTGGGTATCCGGCCTTTGTTTCGGTAGCCCGAGCACTAATAAATGGGTACCCATTTCAGCCGTGCCGTGCCACTAAATTGAATGTAGTGTGAATAGAGTTTTAACTCAAGAGTGTTCACTTACTTTTGATTCAAGCTTTTACTCCTTGACTTTTTAATGGCTTAAAAATAAATGGAAAATAAAACTGCAAAATATATACCTTGCGGGTTGCCTTTTGAAAGCAAGACCTCAAGGAAATATAGTAATAAAAGTGGACTCCGTCAGAGCGGTCTTTTTTATTGTTACGAAAAAGACGATACCGGGTGAGGCACTTATTGGAGGAATAATCACTTACAATAACACTTTCGAACATTGAAATTATGCATATTTTCGACAATTGAAATTACGCAATCTTGAAGGATGGGGGGAAGGGCTCCAACACGCTTCAGGTGCAAGTGACGCGCATGTGAGCACATCCCAAACAAAAATACATAAACAGCATGCATGGTGGAAATAAAACAGTCACACATCGATGGGAACGAAATGATTATATAATTTACGTTCTTTTGTATTACTACTGGTTGATTACATTGATTGCGCAAAAAATTAAGCTTCGCGTTTTAAGCCAGAAGATGAACTACTTAACTAATAACTGCATTATCTTTCATTCACTATACTACGAGATCAGTTGTTTAAAAGAAAGCTGACATAATTGTAGATGAACCCAAATGTTCAAATCAAACTTCCCAACTCTTACACCATCATAAACATGCTGATCTTTTCGGGACAAACAGAAGTTTGAATTTTTTAATTCAGTTTAACATAAAAGGCCTTGCAAATATAGATACCAAAATCCGCGATTTAATACAGATTAAACTCGTGAAGGATTATAGCGCCCATCAAGTTTCAAACAACCGACCTGCAGATTCGCCGTTCGCCCAACATTTGCCTTTAATGTATTATATGATATATTTTCACTATTATTTTTAATTGTCATTTAAGTCATTACATTTGACGTGATATAATTATGGTAATGCCCTATATACAGGGTGTATAAAAAAAATGTCCCAAATGTAAAAATTCCGTTTTTCAGGATATTTTGCAGAATTTGGCAAATTTTTGTGTTCCTAGAGATAGTTAAGACTTATCTGGTATACCTAGGCGAAGTTTGGTTTTTCAGTAACAAAATTATGTTACCGGGGGGGTGTTCCTTTCCACTGGTATTGAGAGGGCTTGCGCGCGAAAATGTGAAGCTGAAATTGAGATATTATTTAGCTGTCTAAAAGCAGGAAAGCTTTTTAATAAACTGTCAAAGTTTCAGGAAAAATAATGCAAACTGGGAGCAACGCGCGACCCCTAAAGGTGACAAATATTTCATTACGCGCAGTGGATGAAATGCATCGTTGATTTTAGCGTGACCGATCTCATACAAGGTGGGCAAATGAATAAATTAAAGCGAGAAACTGAACACAAAAACAAAGCGATTTATTCGTGATGTTAATCCTCAGCATGTCCACCATTTCATTCTAAGCAAACTGCGGCTTGTCTGAGCATACTAAACACTGAACAGCGAACCATTTGTCTGTCCATTCGCCTAGATTTGCCGGTGGTAGCGTAGGCGATTTGCAGGAAAGAATTTCGAACGAAATGGATAATTTGAGGCAGGACAGACAAATGTGGTTCGCCGTTCAGTGTTTACCATGCTCAGACGAGCCGCAGTTTGCTTAGAAAGAAATGGTAGAAATGTTGAGGATTAACATCAAGAATAAAAATCTTGTTATTAAATCGCTTCGTCTTCTTGTTCAAGTTCTCGCTTTAATTTATTTATTTGCACAGCCTTGCATGAGATCGGTCACGCTAAAATCAATTAGGGGTCGCGCGTTGCTCCCAGTTTGCATTATTTTTCCTGAAACTTTGACAGTTTATTAAAAAGCTTTCCTACTTTTAGACAGCTAAATAATATCTCAATTCCAGCTTCACATTTTCGCGCGCAAGCCCTCTCAATATCAGTGAAAAGGAACCACCCCCCCGGTAACATAATTTTGTAAATGAAAAACCAAACTTGGCCTAGCTATACCAGATAAGTCTTAACTATCTCTAGGAACACAAAAAATTGCCAAATTCTGCAAAATATCCTGAAAAACGGAAATTTTACATTTGGGACATTTTTTTTGATACACCCTGTATATGCCCTATATATATTTGGGCGCGCTAAATTTACGGTAATTAACTAATTAACTTTCACAGGATTCGTGCAAGTCAGGAAGAGGTACAGGAAACACTGAATTCGAGGAATTTTTTAAATAGAAAATAGCGCTGGTTTCAGACTGCGGCATTTATTGACAAACTTATCTAGTGCAGATTTTAATGAAAACCCACCATGCCATATACGTGCCCAATATTCTAATGAATAGCAATATATTTGCCAGTATCCAAATCTATTATAAAATAACATGTATATGACGTGTATTCTGATCGGAGAAGCCTGCGTTTGGATCAGCCATCCAAAAACGGTTATTTAATTCGATTATGGAAATCAAACTTACCACTACATTGTTGTTATTTTATGAAAGACTCGCCTTCGCCTCGTGTTTCGCGCGCTTTATTACTCTCGCAACATTTCCGCGCGTGTTTAGATCAGGCCATCCAAACACGGAAACCATCCAGTGTTGAGTTTTTAGTGATGAAAAAAGAATTCAAGTGCTTTTCATGATACCTCTTTATGAGCTGAAGGACCACCATGAAGCATATTCATATATCCGAAGACTATCAATTTCTGTACGAATCCTGTATCTTTTGCGAGTGATCCGAAAATAAAGGTTGGTCATAAAGTAACTCGCTTATTTTTTGAGAGCAGAGGGTACATTTTTTCTCGCAGACAAAAATTTCAAAATTGATTCATTAAGAATGGCTTCTCGAAAAGCTTGCAATATCGCTATTGTTTGTGCATGTAAAAGCCGATGATTGGAGGAAGAAAAAAGGCTTTATGGTTTAACAACAGCACAGAAAGATTCAGTAATAACCACAATGAACTGTGAAAGTGAAAATTCAAAAAACGTTATGTGATGTAAATGAGACGTAGAAAATTTAACAAGCAGAAATTCACGATACCCAAAGAAAAATAATTACCAACGATTAAAAGGAAATCAAGGAAAATGCGACAACGGAAAAAATTATTGGCGTATCAGACAAATATGTTTCAACCAGAATTAACTAACTGGAAAAATATTATATCCTATTATATATATACTTTAATGCCTAATAACTGGTTGTGTAATTGTGGCTACAATGTTAGAACTAGCACTGGGAGGAAGTGAATTAAAATAACATTTTTCATCATTACGTGAGAATGAAATTTCCTTATAGTGGGTAAATAATAGCAGACAGAATAAAAACAAAACAAAATAAACATATATAACTCCATAGTCGATTTAAAAAAAAAAAGACATTTGTTTTCAAAACTTATGTGAAGGCCACCAAAATGACCTGAGAAAAGTTTGCCCATAAAACCCTTGTTGTTTGACAGAAAATACGACAGACAGCAAAACACAGTAAGAAACATCTAAGAAACTTCACTCTGAAGGGTGAAAGACATTGAGAAAATCAAATAAAATGACTAGAAATGTGAAAAAGCTCACAAAATTGAAGCAGTACATAAAAATTAAAGCATTTTGGGTAAAGTTAACGTCAATCAGTTACTTTATGACCAGTTGCTTATATCACTCTTGAAACAGCTCAAATAAGCTTCTAGCTTTATATATATTCGCTAGCGTTGCTATTATTAAGCTGACGATGTTTTATTCTATTTTATGGTAATCTTATATACAAATCATGCGAAAGAAACAAATGGGTATTTTACAAAGAAATTTCTAATTTGATCATTTTTCACAGCAATAACACTGACCTTTTAACTTACCGACTATATAGTTTCTCAGAAACTCCAGCTCTTTTGATAACTCCTGCACCAGGGCTTTTAACTCTTCATTTTCCTGTTTAAGCTGATTTTCCTGTTCATTCAAACGAACTTCTCTCGACGGTCCACGGACACGAGTTGTTCTGCCACGGGGTGGTGCCACGTGAAGCCCTTCTTCATTTACAGATGAAGCATCACCAGAAGCCACAGGATGCCCTTCTTCAACCGCAGATGAAGTCTCATCAAAAGATGCGGGAAGTCCTTCTTCAACCGCGGATAACGTCTCACCAGAAGGTACGGGAAGTCTTTCACATGAAGCTACATCTCTAGAGCAACAGGGTTGTTGTTCCATTCTCTTTTTAGACACAGGGACAACAGCTTCGATACGTTCGCTGTCCTTTTCAAATGGCCTTTTTCTACTGTCAGGATTCACAATGGTGGTATCGTGGCTACCGACAAGGGGAGGGGATATTTCAGCACTGGTGTACGACTGGCTGGGAAGAGGGATGGTATTGTTTTTAAGAATGGACTCTGTGGCAGGATGATCAGCACTGCAATCACTATTACGCTGAACTGTCGGTCCAAAGAATTCAACTGCCGTATCGAACTGAATGTTGCGGGGTAAATTACCCACAAACACGCTTGAATTAGAGGTGCCCACGAGTATTCCGGAAGGAATGTCTAGGGTTACATTAGGTACTGTAGTGGTTAAAGCAAGTTTCTTGATTGGTTGGAAAGTTCCTGTGTTGGGTTCTGAGACCAAATTGTCAGTTGTGGGCTCAGTGTTAAAAGAGTTCATATTTGACTCTGCTGACATTGTTGTCAGATTCATAAATTTTTCATGGAAGACTTGATCCGGTTCTTCCAACGCACCCAGCAAATTCTCAGTGGTCAATAGAAATTCGTCTTGAAATTCTTCTAGAATTCCTTCTGCGTCTCTTGGAACTGAGGAATTCGCAGTATTAATCCTGTGGATCTCACTGGGCCAAAGTGATTCCTCTTGAATTTCCTCCGCAATTTCGTGTGCAACAACGTTGTATGTATCGGAGGAATTCCTATTATCAGACTGGAAGTTCTCAGAAGGCGAGGAAAGATCCTCTAAAACGTCGTAAAACGGAACGTAGCTTTGGCCAAATAATCCTGCATCAAAATTCCATATGTTAACCAGAAAATCATCTGGAAAAAAACCTACATTGATTAAAAATATTTCAATTATTAAAATAATTTTACAACATTGGTAAATAGTCTCTTACTTAAGATGCCGCCTTGTGTTAAGTTTACAAAAATAATTCATTTTCCCCTTTTACCTTCGAAATTAGATAGATTGTTATCATCCTGGGGGGCAATTCCCGCCATATTTGTGGAGGTTCCTTCCTCCAAATTCGCCTTTTTGCCTTGAAAACGACTTCGCTTCTTGTTTTACAGGCGAGAGCAAGTTGTAGTCGTGTGGCGTCTGTGACTTGTATCAATAAACTACAATCTCGCTCAGAGTTCGCATTGTCATCTTTTGATAAAAACATGTCAGAACAGCCACAGTTCAATTTGGAATAAGTTCTCTTCTTGGATGAAAATTTCTCCGAATAGCTACAACCTTTCTTGGAATACACGCTCTTCTTTGCTAATAAAGCCTTTCTTTTTTCACACCTCGATTTTTTCTTTTTCATTAAAATCTGCAACAAAATTTGTTATATCAAGTAAACGGTACGTCGCAAGGATAAATAGCCAAAAATACTCCAGTCCATGCTTTAAGAAAAAATCAAACAAACGGTAGAAGATTTCTTTGATGCAAAAATATTACAAGAATGCGCGTGTGATCACATGAATGGCAGGCCCGTCGGAAGTGAATTAGGATTGGGGTGTAGCAAGTGACTACGTTTCAAGGGATTCGGAGAAGAAAGGGCATTTTCACGACGATTTTTGGAATGTAAAATTTTAAGAACACGATCTCGTTGTGATCTCAGCGACTGCTTTTAGCTAACGCACAAAACTAAATATTGAAATAAAGGAAGGTTTAAACCATGGCAGCTTCGTTTCGCATGCCTGTCAAGATTTATTGCGGCGGCTGCAGCCTGCCCAGCCCTCCCACGCATCCGACGGGCTGATTACTGTCTATGTTTCAGACGGTCAAATTACCTTTGTGTTATGTTCTTTGAGGTTTTGCATGGTGTTATTAAATATAGTTGTTAATTGCTTGTGGTTTACACCATTTAAGCTTTCGGCCCGTGAGCTCGGGTCATCATCAGAGAAGAGTTCAATTACAAGCAAACTATGTGCGCAAGCACATCACGCAACAAAGTCACGCAAATTATAAACGGTTAAATAAAGAAGAGATAAAGGTTCAACTCTAATATAAAAAACTAAGCATGCAAGAACTAGAACAAGCAAGACCATATGTTATTAAGAGGGCTCCCTTTCCAGTGGAATAGTTTTATGTTTAAATATCTCAATTGATTCCCTAGTTATACGAGGAAAGTAATTGTTCACAGGAGCGTCGTTTTCCCATGAGTGTTTAGCTATAGCTGATCTTTGCGTGACCATAGAGATTATAAATAACACTAGCTAGAGGAGGCATTGATATCGAAAACATCAGTCGAAAAAGGCAGCGCAATAATGGGGGGAAAATTCAAGTCCCGGATGCTAAGCCAAGCGCTAATTGGCTAGATCAATACCTCCTTAGCAACTACGATAGCAAAAACTAAAATTTGTATTAAAAAATTATATTCGTTTTTAGGTCGCTTTTCCGGTTTTTTAAGGAAAAACAGTGCTTTTTGGAACTGGTTTTACTTAATAAGTCATTCTGAAATGATATTTTAGGAAAAAAAACCATTCAAAATTAAAAAAACTCGTTAAAAACGACATATTTTGACCTCGGATATCGTGAATGAGTGAACATCCGGGAATTGGATTTGCCCCCCATTAACGCACTCCCCAATTTCTCCTCGATGGCTCCACTAGTGTCATTTATAATCTCTATGTGCGTGACTTTGTCGCGTGATGTGCTTGCGCACATAGTTTGTTTGTAATTAAACTTTTCTCTGATGATGGCCCGAGCTCACGGGCCGAAAGCTTAGAAATTTAATAAATTACATAGTGTAAACTACAAGCGATTAACAACTATACCTTTGTATTGTCATACGTATTAAAGGTGCAACTTCCTCTATACATACCTTGTTTGCCAAGAATTTCAGGTGGAAAAGAAACTTCAATCGAATCCTGACCACACGATGCCATGGCCAAAAGCAAGGATTGCAAGGATATATCAAATCCGTCACAAACTGTCCAAATATAAAAATAATAAATAGTGTTTTCTTTAAATCTAATGAGTAGTATACGAGGCGCTGTAAAAAAGAAACCCAAAATAGAGAGTATTAGCTCAAACTCCAAAGAAATCCTGTCCGTGGACTGGTGGTATTTGTGGACCCTCCACCGACGATATTTCACTCGGTTCGCCTCTTCGACCGGTCTCGGGTCCACAAAACATAATGGTTCCTTCGCTCGCGGTAAATAAGTGTTAAATATTCTGCAATCAAAATGGGTATTGATGATTTAAAGGGAAATAAATAGCAGTGAAGGTTAACTGATTATTGATCGAGCGTGAGGCCTGCACTGTGAAATATCAGACAGAGGCTTTTTAATATGAATAAATATATACCCTCACCACTACTTAACGATCTTAGCGGCACCTGACCCTCTGTATACGACTTTTTTACTATATCATTGATGTTTTCTAAAACACATTAGTTCACTAGTATACCTATACAGGCAATTATAAAATGTAATGATTCCCATCCTCACCTGGCTAGCGCTTGGCATCTTCATATTCAAATTCACCTTGCAAATCAGCTCCTTCAACAGTTCATCCGACTCCAAATTCCAATTCAACATCATCTCCATCCTCATCAACTCATACCTCATTCCCTCGTTTGGTGTCTGAATTTGCCAAATATAATAATTTCAACTTTATTTTCAATATAGAAATATATGCATGTAGAAACCTCTTACCTCGGTTTTTACGAAATAGATTATATTTATACATATATCCCAATTGACTTTGTGACTATTCGGATTCCAAAGTTATTCCCATGTTTTACGATCATGTTAAGGGCTCTGTGAACCTTTATCGTTAATTTTTTGAGTAAATTAATAGCATGTATAAGTGAAAACGAAATAAGATATGTTGAAAAATTGGTGTGGGTTTGAGCCAGAGAATGTGAAAGCACAGTAGTGATAGCAACTCGCAATGGCCGTCATATTTTTCATAATTTATCTGTTTTTGTGGGAAAACCGGTGGCAGAAAATACGGCAAGATTATTATGGAAATTAAATTACCTAACTGCTGTCAGAGTTAATTGGTAAATTATTTTGATTTTTTACTGTAAAATATATGGTCAGACTTTTCATAAAACCTTTTTTTCATACAATCTTGTTTTGCACTTATTGAAACGGAGTTTGCAAATTGAATTATATTTAACAAATAAACCATGAGCACGAGTCGTATATGGTAGACGAAAGCGACTGATATAATTGTTTTATAATATAGCTACTATAAATAGCATTTTATAAGCGAAATAAACATTGCAAAAAATTAACTAGATCGGCTATTGATTTGCCAGTCAATCTTTCGCTAAATCACTGTGGCATGTTTACATGTTAAATTAAATTTAAAAAACCGTTTTCATTAAAAAAAATCTGCATATATTGGTAATACAATGGTCATATATCAACTCTTAAGACCAAGCCATTATGGATTCTATCCACGTACCCATGATATGAAACCCCTACAATCCAGCTCCCTCGCCAGGTTCTTAACCAGATTCTTTATTACCTCCATTTCCAACTTTCTAATCTTGACCATCATCAGTTTGTCCGACTCCTGCTCCAAATCCAACGTGTTCCCCATCATCTTCAATTCATTCATTACCTCACATGTCTGGTGTCTTCCCTAATTTCACCAGAGATAAATAACTTTAGATTGATTTTTTTTCCATAATCAGTGACATCGTATTATACACTGATATCATAGACGCATCTGAATATTGTGTAATTAGATAGCAGTGTACTAAGCTTCTCTGTAATGATTAACGACGAGAAGGTTGGTACCATTCAGTATTTAAATAATTATTAACCATAAAGTGCATTGCAGAGTATTTGCGGGCTAAAATGATAAATTTGCTGGGCTGAAATATATTTTAGCCCGCTGATCTAAACCAATCAGGAGAATGACTGGAGTGTTTACCTATTACATATTTTTTTATACAAAAATTACGCTTAAAGTTAATATTATAATAGTAATACAGTTGATGTTCTTGGGCGTAAATGTGTTTTTGGCCCTCCTCAGAACGCCAAATTATATTGTTGAACTCGCTCGGGTCAAATTATATTGTTAGTAGTTGGGTAAGGGTTAGAGTCTGGTTTAGGATTAAAGTTATGATTATATTCGTGGCCTTACTAAACTTAAAAACGCAAGGAATTAATAATAGTGCCGTGACTTCGTCGAATTAATCAAATGATTTTAAAAAAAAATTCTAAAGATTTGCGTAGGGTGAAGCTATCCTAATATCAAATCATATTTCATTATTGACACTCAGAAGTTTGCTGAATTTCCAATCATTTCACGACCGTGATTTGCTATACAAATTGACAATCGATCAAATAAATATTGCATCAAATACATATTAAAAAAGTCCGTCAAGTCAAAAATTCCGGCAATTCCTTTAGTGGTTTGATAGATAGATAGATAGATAGTTTATTAACTCTTAAAATTACAGCCAAATTTAAGCTGGATTAGATTAAGAATTTACAAAGCATATTCAAACTAATGGATTAAAACTATTCTAAATTAACTACTGATAATATGGTAATAAGATTATAAACAATTGCTATAAAAAAATGTCTTCTGAAGTCTATTGGTTTTACCCACGGGGACATGATATTTACGTGCTGTTCTGAGATTAAAATTATTTTTGTTCAACTTTGGTCAAAACTTATGCAGTTTATGACTTTGGTTTGCACTGATTTCCTGAAAAATTTTAATTGTTTGAGCGTGTCTACGATTGTTTGCTGTATCCAATTTTGTTTGTTTGTTCAAATTCACCAAAATTTTTTAAAAATAATACTATAGATATCTTTCTAAAACGCAGTGCTCTACTTGTCAATACTGCGTGCCGCTACTAATCCCACTTTGAAATTGGGCAAAAATTAACGGCCGGGTGTTCAGAATGGATCGAAAACCCATCGCCTTACCTCTAAGGACTGCATATCAAGGAGCCGCAACCTAAAAATCAACTCTAATTTCAAGCAATTATGGAGACTATACAATTCTATCCACATACGCTTCGCACTACCTCGATATCCTCACGATCCAGCTCCGTCGCCAGGGTCTTCACCAGGTTCTTTATTACCTCCATTTTCAACTTCTTAATCTCCTCCATCATCAGTTTGTCCGACTCCTGCTCCAAATCTAACATCCTCTCCATCATCTTCAATTCATTCATCACCTGCTCTGTCTTGTTTTCTCCCTTATTACACAAAAGAAATTCTAGGCTGACTTATTTTACATAATAAATGACATCATGCATCTGAATGGCTGAGAGAAATGCAATATTACATATGAAATAATTCACAACGAGAAGGTTCGTAACATTCAGTTATCAAAATATATCTCCATTGTATCAAACTAAAATTATATTTGAATGTGATATTGTCTTGACGCCCTTTCCAACCGATCCAAGTGAAAATTTGCTCAATATGTTAAATTAGCTTCAACTTTCATTGTAAATTAACGGTGTTGAAACCGTTTTGGTTTCAAAACGAAAATAACAACGCTCGAAAACGTTACCGTGTGCATACGGTCTAATCCTTTGTTATATTAGCTTTTGCGGGCATTGCGGTGTATTTTGGGGGCTAAAATGATAAATTTGCCGGGCTGAAATATATTTTAGCCCGCTGATCTAAACCAATCAGGAGATTGACTGAAGTGTTTACCTATTGCATTTTTTTATACAAAAATTACGCTTAAAGTTAATATTATAATAGTAATACAGTTGATGTTCTTGGGCGTAAATGTGTTTTTGGCCCTCCTCAGAACACATGTAAATTTTAACCCTTGCTCGGGCCAAATTATATTGTTAGTAGTTGGGTTAGGGTTAGAGTCTGGTTTAGGATTAAAGTTATGATTATATTCGTGGCCTTACTAAGGCAAACTTAAGGAATTACTAACAGTGCCGTAATTTCGTCGAATTAATCAAATGATGAAAATTTCTAAAGATTTGCGTAGGGTGAAGCTATCCTAACATCAAATCATATTTCATTATTGACACTCAGAAGTTTGCTGAATTTCCAATCATTTCACGACCGGGATTTGCTATACAAATTGACAATCGATCAAATAAATATTGCGTGAAATACATATTAAAAAACTATCAACATGATGATATATCAAGTCAAAAATTCCGGCAATTCCTTTAGTGGTTTGTTTGTTCAAATTCACAAAATGTTTCTTTAATAATATTAGATGTTTTTTCTAAAAGGCAGTGCTCTACTTGTCAATACTGTGTGCCGCTACTAATCCCACTTTGAAATTGGGCAAAAATTAACGGCCGGGTGTTCAGAATGGATCGAAAACCCATCGCTCGAAAATCAACTCTAATTTCAAGCAATTCTGGAGACTATACAATTCTATCCACATACGCTTCGCACTACCTCGATATCCTCACGATCCAGCTCCGTCGCCAGGGTCTTCACCAGGTTCTTCATTACCTCCATCTTCAACTTCTTAATCTCCTCCATCATCAGTTTGTCCGACTCCTGCTCCAAATCTAACATATTCTCCATGATCTTCAATTCATTCAATACCTGCTCTGTCTTGTTTTCTCCCTTATTACACAAAAGAAATTTTAGGCTGACCTATTTTACATAATAAATGACATCATGCATTTGAATGGCTGAGAAAAATGCAATATTACATATGGAATAATTCAAAACGAGAAGGTTCGTACAACATAGGTAATGATTCACAACGAGGTTCGTACAACATAGGTAATGATTCACAACGAGAAGGTTCGTACAACATAGGTAATGATTCACAACGAGAAGGTTCGTAACATTCAGTTATCAAAAGATATCTACATTGTATCAAACTAAAAATATATTTGAAAGTGATATTGTCTTAACGCCCTGTGCACACGATCCAAAAGCAAGGGAAAATTTGCTCAATATGTTAAATTAGCTTCAACTTTCTCTGATTTCAGGCTATTAAAGATACTACGCAATGATATTTACGTACCCATGATGTGTAACGCTCATCATCCAGGTCTCTCAGCAACTCCCTCACCGCGATCTTCATTACCTTCATCTTCAACTTCTTAATCTCCTCATGCATCAGTTTATCTGGCTTATGCTCCAAATCCAACATGTTCTCCATCTTCTTCAAATTATCCATTGCGTCCGTTGCCAGGATTGTTCCCTGATTTCGCGATATTTTTTTACAATGATTAATAGCAATACAATCACATACATCAAATAAATGGCTGGGAAAAGTGGAATGCGATATTTATCATTATAGATCTGGAGTGAGGAGGGTTCGGCAAAATATTTCCCGAAGTGATGATATATCATTACTCAGGAAATATTTTGCCGAATCCCTAGAGCGGAGGGTCTATAAATGATATATTATACCGAAAATATATTGTGAACTTGTAGAATAGCCTAACATACAGTACAAATGTTCAGAAAAGTATTCCTATAAATCAATAAAAGTACTCGAAGAAGGCATAAAAAATTACTGTATTTTAACATTAGTCAACTCTTTTGGGTTTTCTGTATGTCCTTCGTCGAGAATACGGTTATCGTCGATTTTCTCGTCAGAATCGTTAGTTTCTTGATTTCAAACAAATTCTCGCCATTTTTTAATTTTTCTTCATACACGGAGGCTTGCGTGGCCGCCACGCGTTTTCCTGCGAATAGATCTTTACCGGTGAGTATAAAAAAATCTGCCGCTGCAGCGAATACGGATGACGTAAGTGCGACACGCAGAACTTATTGACACACAGACTAGCCCCTACTTCTCCTTAGCGCGCCTTGCATTCTTGTGACGACACCGGTTTCAACGCGCGGGAAAGAACTAGAAAAAAATGTTTTTAATTCCCAATTCAAAAGGTGGCAAGAAAATTTTTCTCAAACAATACTGATCTCAAAATATTTGCATCAGGGACAAAATTAGGGAAAGTTTTTGAAGTCTCAACATTTTGTGCTAGGCTAGCCCCTGCATATTTAACAGCGCGCGCTTACAAGGCCGGGGACTAGCCTGATTGACACGGAGGACAATTTGATTTCAGTCAGGTATAATATTATAATTATTAAAAATAGTAGTGTGATAAACTTTCCCGTTTTCATCCGGAACGCAGTGGCTGGTACCATTCTGACAACTGACAAAGGTTTCAATCAACCAATGAAACTTATGTGGATGTACGAGTTTAAGTGTGAGGGGGCTTTTAGATTACAGGCGATGATCTGGAAACTCGCCAACAGTCTGTTCTATTGTTTTTTTTATGTTTATACGTAAATTTTCTTACAATGAATACAATGCGTTATTTTCGTAATGAAGTGTCACGTACGTTAATAATTGCATAACCAAAACCCACAAACCATTCCCTAATCTAATCATTTAGGTCAGGTTCACACTAAAGGAATCGGGAATTAGGCAAAGAAAGCGAACATGCATGGCTTAAATATTAAGGGGTGTGAAGAATGGATCAAAAGCCATCGTATCTTCTATAAGGCCTACATATTGAAGTACCGCCGATCAACTCTGATTTCAGACAATTATGGATATTACTCGATTTTATTTACGTACCGATGACGAACCCCAACAAACGAGCTCCTCAGCCAGCTCCTTAATCAGGTTGTCCAGTATCTTTGTCTTCAACTTCTTAATCTCTTCCATCATCATTTTATCCAACTCCTGATCCAAATCCAACATCTTCTCAATCTTCTCCAAATCATCCATTACACTCAAACCCTTGTGCACTTCCTGATTGTACCAAAGAAAATAATCTAAAATCGATAATACTCCACAACGAATAACAATAAAATTAGATCAAATTTCTTAACGCTAAATATCATGACTAAGAGGATCGATCGAATGCAATATTAGATTTGAAATAGTAGTGAGTTGAGCTTTTCTATAATAGGGACCTTAAAGCCCTAATTCCACGAGCTAAATTTTCAAGCGAAATGCGAAATATTTCGCCTGCTTTTTTTGAATTGTGAGCAATGAAGCAGAATTTAATTTATTCAAGTAGTCGAAATTCAAAAGAAACAGACGAAATATTTCGCTTTTCGCCGAGAAGAAGCCCCTAACCATGTAGGACGCGAACGCGACGACGACGGCTATCAATACCATGGGTCATTGAAATGAAATGAATAATTAAAGACCTGACGTCGTCTTCGTTCTGTTTACAAGATACAACGGCAAAACGTCTTGCCTAAAACGGTTGCATTTCAGGACCCAGCGAGCCCTAACTCGAATTAGACTCTATAGAATTATCTTTAAACAACAATCGTTACAATTAATAATATGCAACAACCACTTTGTCACAGCATTTATTTAAAGGAGTATTTCAGCCGCGTCGTCATCGTGTTGCCGTCCTACATACTTATAAGGTCCCTAATAATTCGCAACGGGGAGGCTCGTATACCATTCAACTCACGAAGGTTTTTTGAATCATGCAACAATTAAAATATATTTAAATGTGTGGTCTCATTCAGCATTTGAATGGAAGGAAGAGAAATAGCTAGATCTGGCAAAGAAACTTAAACATTCAATCACAATGGTCGTTCAAAACATGATCTGGAAACTCGGCCGCAATCTTTGTTCCATTGTTTCCGTACGATGAAGCCACTACATTCTTTTCATAATGAAGCAATCATTCAGGGTCATGGCAATAATAATCGTGGATTTGGTTGGACATTGTTGGAATTACTACCAGTACCATCAGTTCTCACCTCGTTGAATTACTCAACGGTATTGTTGAAGTATTGATAAACAACTTTCTAAAGATTTGTGCAAGGTGAAGCCATCCTAACATTAAATCATATCTCATAATAATTTAGACACTTCCAGGTTTGCTAAATTTAAAGTCTTTTCTTGACTTTAAACTAAAAAAATTGGGACAATTTCACAAAATATATCGCTGGCTATTTTTCTAAAATACAGTACTTTACTTGTTAACTCAGCCGCTACTAATCCACTTTAAAAAGAGGTAACAATCAACGGACGGATTTGCAGAATGGATAAAAAAGCGGTTGTAACACCTATAACGCCACCGACTAAGAATCAACTCTGATTTCAGGCAATCATGGATATTTAGCATTTTACCCACGTACCCATGAGAAACCCTCACAATCCAGCTCCCTCTCCAGGTTCCGTACCAGTTTCTTCATTACAACCATCTTCAACTTCTTAATCTTCACCATGATTAGTTTGTCTGACTTCTGCTGCAAATCCAACATCTTCTCCATCTTTTCCAATTCATTCATTACGATCCATATTTCGTTTCTTTTCTAATTTCACCAAAAATAAGTATTTTTAGAATGAAAGGTTTTTCCATAATGAATGACATCATTACACTTATATCATACATGCATCTGAATGGCCGAGAGAAGTGGAATATTACATATGAAGTGTGTATAGGAGTGTGCTAAACGTCACTGTAATGATTCAGCAGAATGAGGAGGTTGGTTATTTGAATGTGCTTATCGTCTTGACGCCCTGTCCACACACGATCCAAGTGAAAATTTGCTGAATATGTTAAATTAGCTTCAACTTTCATTGTAAATTAACGGTGTTGAAACTGTTTTGGTTTGATAATGAAAATAAAAACGCCCGAAAACGTTACCGTTACTGTGTGGTCTAATTATCCTTTATTGTTCGTGGTTAGATTATGGTTGGAGTCTGGTTTAGGGTTAAAGTTAATATGATTATATTCCTGGTTTTTGGTAATGGAATTACTACAAGTGCCGTCATTTCGTCAAATTACTCAGTCTTGGTGAAGTAATAACCAAGAGAATTTCTAAAGATTTTTGAGCGTGAAATTTGCTCGCTGGCTATTTGTGCCTAATATATCGCTGACTATTTGTGCCAACTCAGCCGCTGCTAATTCCAGCTCAAAAAATCATTGCATCAAATATAAGCCTACATATTGACAGACAATTATGGTCCATATTACGCAATTCTATCTACGTACCGATGAAACGAAACGCTCACAATCGAGATCCTTCGCCAGCTTTCTTACAACGATCTTCATTACCTCCACCTTCAAGCTCTTAATCTTCGCCATCATCAGTTTATCCGACTCCTGCTCCAAATCCAACATCTTCTCAATCTTCTCAAAATCATCCATTATGCTCAACCCCTTACGCACTCCCTGATTACACTAAAAAATATTTTAAATGGATAACTTTTCACGATGAAAATTTCTGGACTATTTAAATGGCTGAGAGGAATGCAATATTACATTTGTAACGGTAGTGTGTCAATATTTTTTGTAATGACTCGCAACGGAGAAGTTGGTATACTATTTAACTGAGAAATGCAGGGGCGTAACTAAAACGATAATTTGTGTGAACATTTATATATTTAGTTCTGTTAGACGGATTTCAATTGTAAGTTATTGCACTTTCAAAAGAAATCCGTCAGGCAGAATTGAATATATGAATATTCTAGTTACGCCTCTGGAGAATTTTTTTCATGTGTGGTTTTTGAATGTGTGGTTTCATTTAGCATGTTGATGGAATGACGTAAAATAGCTGTATTAGGCAACTATAAAAGTTTCACATTCAATTAAATGTTCGTTGAAGACATAACCTGGAAACTCGCAATCTTTGTTTCATAGTTTTCTCCTATGAGTTTGCTCATGTTTACGTAAATTTCCGTACGGGGAAATTCTGACCGTACAAGAAAATTTATATCAGCTAGGAATACGAAAGGCAATATGTTGGACAAAATTTCCTCAACTTATTGAATCGAAAAGTTCGTATGAATGTGAACGATTTTACAAGTTCGTTGAGAGAACACGGCCATAACTTTGAGAAATACATTTAAATTAGCTAAATTTGGAAGATTGCAGAAATACCCAAGGTAAAAGATTCGATACCAATTAAAACATTTTATTAACAGCTGTTCTATCGAACTATATTTTTTATCATGATTTTAACTGTAGAACTATATAAATCAGTTAACTTGTCGCTGTGCAATCATTCAAAGAACTTATGCCAGAATTTACAGTGTATTTTATGACTATATGTTTGAAATAGCTACAGGATTGATCAAATAAATATTCAATTATGTCAAATACATATAAAAGATTTACCAACATATAACTGACCAGTATATAAACTCTAATTTCAGGTAAGTTTGTAAACCTATAAGCAATTAATATGAAATTCACAAAATATATTGCTGAATATATCAAGCTTTCCAAAATGCTGCACACAAGCTACTTGTCAACTTTAAGTAAACAACCCACTAGATTTTGTCAACTGCTAATATTCCACTTTAATATGAGGTAATAAACGACAACAGTATACAGAATCAATTAAAAGCTATTGTATCACCTATAAGGCTTACATATTGAAGAAACAACTAAGAAACAACTCTGCTTTTAGGCATTTATGGCCGGATATTATGCAATATTATTTAACGTACCAATGATACGAAAGGCTCACAATCCAGCTTCTTCACCAGGTTCTTCATTACCTCCATAATCAAATTCCTAATCTTCTTCTCCATCACCATTTTATCATAATGCAACATCTTCTCCATCTTCCTCAATTCATTCATCCTTGTTGACACCTTGTTTGTTCTCTAATATTTCACAAAAATTGGCAATTTTAGACTGATATTTTTTTGTAATGACTGACATTAATACGTAATATATCATTTATAAATTCAAATATTGCTGGAGCTAAATGGCTGAGAGGAATGTAATATTACATTTGAAATAGCGAAGTTGGTTCTTTACAATTATGCAATATATGCTATCGATCTACGTACCGATAGACAAAAACACCATGTCCCATTCGAAGTCTTAATCTCCACATTCAACTTCTTAATTTCCTCCAATATCAGTTTATCCGACTCCTGCTCGAAATCTAACTTCTTCCCCATCTTCTCCAATTGATTCATCATCATCTTCTCTGCATTGTCTCTTTCCTGATTTCAACAAAGATATTGCATGGTACATAACTTTAGATCGATAATTTTTGCACAATGAATGACATTAGAATACAATATTTTAGATTATTTCTTTACATTGAATGGCTATCCCGATGTGTGGTCACATTTAGCATATTTATACACAAAGTGCAAGATAAACCATAAGACTGTAACAAATTACCTTAGACTTAAAATAATAATAGTGTTTGAAGACATGTGATATTTTGGGGGACTTATACCCTTATTGAAGATTCCATTTTAACACCTAACCATCCTGTTGGTTTCAAAACGGAAGGTCGTTCAAGTTGGTATTTTGTAAAAGACCTTCTGCCAAAAACAAGTTGTTATTTTCCGTTTCAGAGCGCAAAGATTTACATCAAATGCGTAAATTTGGTTAGCAAATGCGCAATGCGGTTGCCTTGCCTAGCCACGCTATGTCCGTCACAAAAACACACCGCGTTTCTATGTTTTGAAATCCGGTTCATGCTACACAAAACAGCCTACCTAGCTTAGGTTATTCATTCTACGCTGAGTCTCGAATGTGGACGCTTGCAAGAAAGCAAAGGTTAATGCTACAATTCTATTCGCATTGCGAGACAAAAAATTCTATCTTTATTCTACCTCGATCAAAGCTATATCTACGCGCATGATAGTTAAAGTTGGTGCGTCTGCAAACCAAAGTAAGTAAATAGATAATACGTTGTTTCAGTTTGCAATTGTCGCGCTAAGTGTTTTGATAAGCGCTGCTAAAATCGGTTTAGTTGTTATATTGCATGCTATAATTATTAGTTTAATAAGTATATCTCATTTATGTCAATTATCAAGTATACTCGTATTAATTTCATGTGTAGAGGTTATTTCATTTGTCTGCTTATCATATTTTAGTTCGAACCGACGCAATATTCTCAATCGACTTATTCGACCCAAACCTGTATATATCCTGTTAAAATTATCAAAATTCCCACGTCGAGTTCGTTTCATTCTACGCACCGCGTCTACCCCTGTAGATTTATTGGGAACTCGTTGACATTGAATTTCTGTCCCAGTGAAGCTACACATCCAAGCGTAGGTGCCCCTTTAAAAGGTGCCAAATATTAAGCCCTTACGCCAAAAACTGTTTGATATTTTGTAATATTTTCGCTCATTAACTGCCAGCATGATACTGACTTGTGACTACATATATCCATTTTGTTTCATAATTTTATACTGACATATTTCTTACATTCTTGTAAACTAGTATTTTTGTAATTCTCATCAACACTGTCGGTCCATCACGTTTTATACCAACCATCTCGACTATCACCTCCCAATCCAATAAAGGATACGGTGCTTAGGATCCTGTGTACAAAAAATATTTATGTACAGTGGACAATAAACCTTCGCTCCTGAGAACTTCGACACTCTTGTAAACGAACACAAGGATTTTCAAATAGCCAATATACTTCGCAAAGTCACTTCGATGTTTTAACGAAATGGCAATGGAACTATTCGGTTCTGCTTTTATAACTCCAAGCTAAGCGGAAGTGTTTCAATTTCATTTCATTGCAATATTTTGTTGCGTTCGGATGCAATCACGAGCTGCAATCGTCGCTGACCTGTGTATGCAAAATGGACTGATGGTACGTCATAATTACCAGTGACTGCATATTACTCATATAGCCACTGATCTATATGATAACAATCGAATGGGAGGTCTTAAGAAATAGCTACAATTCTACATCGTGTTTGGTTATGTTCGCTAAGGAGTCACATGAGATATGCGGGCGAAGCCTGCCCAGATCACTTGCAACCGAATCTTTACCACGTCACACGTCTGTGATATTCTCTGTTGTAATGGCAGAGGCCGGCACAAACACCGAAGATAATTTGGCGGCTTTATTACTTAATGATGATGTCGCTTCTGATGAAACGCAAGTAAACATTACAATAGTTCTAAATTCTCTTAACAATAATGTCTCGGCTTTGGCTGTTTCTATGGAGGCAATGGGCAACTCTTTAGTTAATTGAACATAGACGCCCTAATAATTATTCAAACCGCTACTGCCAAACGAGATTCTCGGGCGGTTCTTTCAACAAGTGAGCGTGCTGAAAAACAACGTATCGATGCTCTTACGAATGACTCAGACCCTGCTCTACAGGCTTTATTGAATTCAGACGAATGTCAGCCACAAGTTGAAAGGAAGATGGCGAGTTGGCAGAGGATGATGAGCTTCTGCAAGCTTTGGCTCTCGAGTATTCAAGTCAGGACAAAACAAGCAGTCCGATATCAGCTCAGTTAGCTGCTATTCTAGACCAAAGCTGGTCGGCTGCATTGCCAGATGTGAGATGCTAAGTTAAAGCAAAAACTGGCTCAATATGATCGACCATAAAACTGTGGTCGCCTCTTAGCACCTAATGTCAACCATGAAATCTGGTCCAGAATTTCGACAGTTGGCCAACGGCAACTTGTGTCAGTGCAGCGTTAGCTAAGTCCACTCAAGTGTTACTCAATATTGAATAAGCATATGCTAAGCATATATTTTCCAATAACGAAGACAATGGCGTTGTACAATGGAAAGACCTTGTCCACGTCACAAATTGACGCTCTTGCTCTTTTAGGCAATGCTAATATAGACCTTTTTTATAATGACGTCAAACGCGGAAAGTCTGATGTAACACGAAGTTTGATTGGCTCGATAGTTTTGTTGAGCCAATCAAATTTCGTGTAACATCAGACTTTCCGCGTTTGACGTCATTATAAGAAAGGTCTATTGTCAGCTTTCACAGCGTTGGCGTGAAATGCTGAAGCCGTTTTTGAATAAGGAATATGCTGCTCTGTGTTCTTCTCAAACGGCAATTACATCGCTCTTGTTTGGCGACGAGTTGCAAACCCAGTTGGCTTCAATTCGTGCTTCTAACCGTATTAGTAATACGGCTATTCAGTCTTCTTCTCGTCCAAATACGCCCAGAGTTGGCCGACCAAACCGCACATGACCTTCGAAAAACAATGATCGCGACAAGTCGGTTTTCTACAAAGGCCCCAATCTGAGATGGCCATACAGAAGTCGCCAACAGAGATCTCGGGAGGGGCCAACAACAACAACAACAACAACAACAACAAAAACAACAAAAACAACAACAACAACAACAACAACAACAACAACAAATGAATACTGAAGTCCTCAGCAGACTTACAGATCTAAGGTAAGTGAATATACTGTATGTCATTTTTACCTTCACTTACACAACATTTTACCGACCAAATTGCCCAATTTCTGGCATGTCGCATATATTAATCTACTCACAATAAATCTACTCACAAACTTACGGACGATCCCGAAATTCTAGATATGGTTCGGTGTGCCCATATTGATTTTGTGCAGGTTCCAACTCAAACACGTTCTCCACGACAGACCTCTTTTACGGCAAATGAGGTATCAGTTATAGAAACTGAAATTTCGAATTTACTGAGCAAGCAGGTAATTATTCAAACGCCTGGGAAATACATCTCCCCAATTTTTGTCCGCCCAAAGAAGGACGGTACTACCAGAATGATTTTAAATTTGAAATCGCTAAATCAATCTGTCGTGTATCGACACTTTAAAATGGATACATTAAAAGATGCTATTCGCTTAATGAAGCCGAACTGTTACATGGCTTCTATCGATCTAAAAGATGCGTATTATTCGGTGCCCATTAATAAGTCACATCAAAAATATTTGAAATTCAAATGGAATAACGTTTTATATGCATTCACTTGTTTCCCCAACGGTTTAGCCAGGGGTTTCGTAAGGGGAGCCAGCTACTTTCAATATCACCGCCGGCTACTTTGTATCGTGTATTAAAATTTTAAGTTTTAATAGAAAGTTTTAAATTGGTGTATTTAGATAGCAATTACAATATCAAATACGTGGTCAATTCAAACCGTTCTATTTTGTCTTGAAAGCGTTGTGAAGATTATTTAGTGTTTTTAAATTGTTATTCACGTAGGATGACAATTTTTTCACTTGTCTGCCATCTTGAAATAGTGAAGACGTCCACCATCGGCCCCGACCTCCTCCCCCCCCCTAACAAATGGCGCTGCTAACCCTGCCGCCTACTTTCCTTAAAGCGCCTGCTACTTTCAAAAATAATAAAACCCCTGGTTTAGCCTTTTGTCCACATAAATTTCCACCTTACGTCGGTTAGGTCATGTTTCCTCCGCATATATCGATGACTCGTTTTTAGAGGGAGATGATTATCAATGCTGTTTGGAAAATTTACGATGAAACTATTGTATTCGTTAGGGTTTATAACTCATCCTAAAAAGTCGGTACTTGTACCTACTTAGCGCTTAGTTTTCCTCGGGTTTATCTTAGACTCTATCCTCATGCGGATTCAGTATCTTACTCCTGATAAATGCTTAGTGTGAAACCTAACATTGACCTGTTTGCCTCTCGCTTAAACTTTCGATTTAAGCCCTTTGTATCCTATAAACCAGATCCTGAAGCAATAGCTATAGACGCATTTCATATGTCTTGGAAACCGTACTTAGCTTACTGTTTTCCACCGTTTTTTCTCATATCTAGAATTCTACAGAAGATATAGAAGAAGAAGTCACCCTTGTTGCAGTCCTCCCCAATTGGCCAACCCAAATTTGGTGGTCTCGAATGACACGACTGCTCATACGTCCACCTCTTCTTCTGCCAAACACCAAAACGACTCTATACCTCCCAAACAGTCAACCGGCAACTCATCCCATGTATCCTCACCTCCAGCTGCTTTTTCCTCTTATCAGGCGATCACTCGAAAACCAACGAATTTCAACAGAGGCTAACGACCTTATTATCAGCGCTTGGCGAGGAGGCACCATTAAACAGTATAAGCCTTACTTTGAAAGATGGACAAGATACTGTCGTCAACGGAAGATTGATTCTCTTCGAGCAGCTGTAGCGGATGGCCTAAATTTCTTAGCATCTCTCTTTCAAGCTGGTTCCAGTTACAGTGCCGTCAACACTGTTCGAAGTGCTCTTTCCTCCAATTTCCCCGCGCAAGATAACACGAAATTTGGCTCTCACCCGCTTGTCTGCCGTTTTTTAAAAGGTGTTTTTGAACATCGCCCATCCCTTTCATAATATGACGTAATTTGAGATGTCTCAGTGATTTTGCGTCTCCTGTGTACTTGGCAACTGAAAGCTTAAAAAACTCAACTTGGAACCCTGAAACTTACTACGCTTTTGGCACTGTCTTCTGGTCAACGCGTACAAATTATTAAGGCGTTTAATATTGACAATCTAACATTTCAAGTCAACAAATGTGTGTTCCTTATTACCAGTATGCCTAAAACTACACGACCGGGTAATCACTTATCTCCAGTTGTGATTGACGAATTTCTCGAAGACAATAACCTTTGTCCAGTGAAACATCTGCAGCTGTATTTGACTAAAACTGTTTCGCTTCGAGGTTCGAACAGACAGCTACTGTTAAGCTATCAAAGACCATACCATCCCGTCTCAACAAACACTATAGCTCGCTGGATCAAAACAGTCCTGGCTAAGGCAGGGATTGATAATAAAGTATTCAGTGCTCATAGTACCCGAGCTGCCGTCGCCTCTGCTGCTCACAGGAATGGAGTTATGAGCATTGACAGGATTCTCACCGCCGGAGGGTGGTGAAATGAATGCACATTTGGAAAATTTTATAAAAAGCCCATTACTGGGAAAGAAATCTCGGGTCTTGGTGTCGTATCTTCTTCCTTGACGGATTGACAATAAATTTGTGTGTTGTTATACTAAGTTACTTACAGATATTGTGAATTCACTGCTCCATGCGGTTCTTGTCAAATATAAGATTATTTTTTGCATTGCTACATTCTATGGGTTTGTCGTTACTTTAATTCTTCAGTATCATGACGCTTTAAAGTCTCATGTGACTCCTTAGGGAACATAACCAATCGCGATGTAGAATTGAAAGTTAAACGAGACTTACCTGTAAGTTGAAGTTTGACGGTGATTCTACGAGTGTTCGTTATGGAGCTAAGGAGTCACCACCCACCCGAGTTTTCGGAGGTATCATTTTCTATGTATGCTTTTCTTTCCCTCCCTAGGAATATTGTCATGATACTTCAGCTTTGAAGTGTGATCTGGGCAGGCTTCGCGCGCATATCTCATGTGATTCCTTAGCTCCATAACAAACATTCGTAGAATCACCGTCAAACTTCAACTTACAGGTAAGTCTCGTTTTTTTTAACTTTCAATTTGTTGTTTGAACGCTTTTCAATTCAGTCAAATATTGATATTTTTTGCGAAACGATGTTAAGCTGTTTCAAAGCCCCAAAATCTATAAATTACGTTGCATTATTATATTCTTGTATTTGCATGGTGACAGTCGATAAGTAATTTTGAACAAGTGTACTTGTCAAAGAAAAAAATGTCAAAGTACAAATTTGCTCGTCTGTATGAGTCAAAAAAGAAAACTTGTCACATAATGTGAGCACTTGTATGCGGTAGGCCAGCGGATTATAGTATTTTGCGATGGCGAGCAATATAGCGAGCTCACGTTGTCCGCTGTACGATTCACATCACTGCAGCAAATTAATTGTCAAAGTAAACTTGTTGGCACGTTCACACGAGCAAATAAAACCATAGGTAGCCCAGAAATCTGTTTGTGCTAAGCTTACGGTATTATAATTATATTAGTAAGGTTGGTCTGAACTTATTGATAAGCCTGCCGCACACGTGAGCTGAGCTAAAGACCACGCGTGGCTGCCAGCTCAGCAAATTACTCTCCGGTGCGGATAGTTTTTCGTCAGGAATTCACCTCGAGAGGCAGGTTTCTCACGTGTGAGGATTGTTTTCGGGCTGAGATAACTGCCTCGCGAGGTCTTAGCTCACCTGATAGTTCTCGTGTGCGGCGGGCTTTAACAAAGGTAAAATGGAAGACCTAGATAACTATAGACCAATTTCCATCCTCCCCGACCCCATAGTCTCAAAGCTGTTGGAGAGAGCTGTTCATAGGCAATTAAATTGGTGAGTATCTAAGGGAACAAAATATTTCAAGCCTTATTATCAACGTGGATTTCGAAAAGATCACTCCACAGAATTCGCAGCTCTCCCTTGCTCTCACAACTCGGAGACACATTATGAACAATGACAGCAGGGATTTTTGGAAAGCGTTTAGTGACATCGTAGATCACCATTTGTTAATTGTTACTAAATAAACTCTCCGCTTTGGTTTGAAGACTATGTATTTTCCGAACCTGAGCTTATTACTGGTCTCCCGAAGGCTCAATACTTGGCCGAATGTTATTTGTGCTTGATGTTAACAACCTTCCAAATATTATGCGTATACAGCAGTATACTTATGTATGCGGACGGCATTGTCCTATTCTTTGCCTTTCTTGCTCAGACTCAAGTCGGTGTCTTAATAGCAATCCAAGAGAATTTAAACCATAATCTCGACCTAATGAGAACCTGGCTCCGAGATAATTGCTTGTTTCTGAATAAATCAAAAACAAAATCAATATTATTTGGAACTCATGCAAGGCTCGCTGGTGTAAGTGAATTTAACATCGGGATTAACAGTCGTTCCATCTAGCGCGTAACGGAATTCAAATATCTTGGGGTTCTTTTTGATGGTCGTCTTACGTGGAAATCTCAAATCAAATCTGGCAATCCAAGGCAACCTAACAATCTACGCCGGCTGGCAAAAGAGTATAATATAGGGATGCTAGGACGAATCAGAAACAATTTAACACCCTATTGTGCGAATATTGTATAATTATGTATGCTTTATTCGGCCTATTCTTGAGACACTGTGTGGAATTGCTGTCGCTCAGGCAGTGCATGCAAAGACTTAGAAAAATTGCAACGGCGTGCCACCAGGATTGTAACGAGAATAAACGATAGTGATAGAGCTATGGGGGTGATGAAGTTCTCTCCAAAGTAGGATTTAGGAAAAATGAAAAACGTTTTCAAACTAGTGAGCAAATGTAATCAAGGACGGTGTCCTCAATTCTTTTTAAAATATTTCTCTTTCAATAATGAACGGACAGTGGAGTCTCAAGGCAAAGCAACAATTTACATCTACCTCGGGTTAGAACTGAACAAGCAAAGAAATCTTTTTACTATAATGATTGTGTAGTTTAATAACAAGCATATTTGACTTTTTCTTCGTATATATCTTTCTTCGTATAATAAAGGTTTATTCATTCATTCATTCTAGGCCGCGACCATAATTATTGCAAAAAGTTCATTCTAATTTCAGGAACTCAAACTGAACTTGAACATAGTGAAAGTATATATGTACTATAATAATTCAGGACTACCCCACATATAATACATGTACACAACGGTTATATATAACACTTTATAGCTACATGTCGTTTCAGTTCAACATATCATAATACGTCGATCGTTTTAAGCCCCGTTTACACTACACTCAATTTATTGGCACGGCACGGCTAAAATGGATACCCGTGCCTAGATTTATTCGTGCCCGGCCTTTGTATTGGTAGCCTGAACATTAATAAAATTGGGCAGGGACTTTCTTTTTAGCCCGGCGTACCGTGCCAATAAATTGACTGTAGTGAAAACGGGCTCACTTTGCGTGTTAAGTTGCGGAATTGCAGATGAGATTTCGTGGAGAAAATATTCGACGAAGACGACATTAACTTTTAGTGAGTTTTACCGTGCCAAATGCATCATTCATTTACTTTGCTTGCACCGCCTGTTTCGCACACCTGAGTATGTTTAAAAAGCGAGTTTATACGTAAGATTGCAATTTTTAAAAACGGATTTTTTTAAAAAAAGAGTTGCGATAACTCCACAGGCAGCCCGGTCACTGCTGTTACGTCATGCTATTATATATGTATATAATTACAATAAGGCTGGCAACTCCCTCGCAAAAAATATAATACATACATTAATACCATCGCTTAAAACAAAAATACTACGCTAGTTTCTTAAAAAAAAACAGATACAAAACACCTTGGATATATTGACTATATTTATCTGTCGTTTTTAGACTTGAAAAAAACTCTAAAATGCTCAAATTTTGCGAATTAAAAGTGTATTTTCGTTGAAATTTTGCGAAACAGAGGCGGGATGCAATTTACTCGACAAACGTCATCATCGGAGAATTCGTCGACAAACTTCTGATTGGCTGTGGCAAGTTCGGAAAATTACGAAGATCTTTTTTCTTGATTGAGTTGACCTTCGTAATTTTCCGAACTTGCCACAGCCAATCAGAAGTTTGCCGACGAATACTCCGATGATGACGTTTGTCGAGTAAATTGCATCCCGCCTCTGTTTCGCAAAATTTCAACGAAAATACACTTTTAATTCGCAAAATTTGAGCATTTTAGAGTTTTTTTCAAGTCTAAAAACGACAGATAAATATAGTCAATATATCCAAGGTGTTTTGTATCTGTTTTTTTTTAAGAAACTAGCGTAGTATTTTTGTTTTAAGCGATGGTATTAATGTATGTATTATATTTTTTGTGAGGGAGTTGCCAGCCTTATTGTAATTATATACATATATAATCACAGGCAGCCCGTTCACTGGTGTTACGTCATGCTATTATATATGTATATAATTACAATAAGGCTGGCAACTCTCTCGCAAAAAATATAATACATACATTAATACCATCGCTTAAAACAACAATATTACGCTAGTTTCTTGAAAAAAAATTACATACAAAACACCTTGGATATATTGACTATATTTATCTGTCGTTTTTTGACTTGAAAAAAACTCTAAAATGCTCAAATTTTGTGAATTAAAAGTGTGTTTTCGTTGAGATTTTGCGAAACAGAGGCGGGATATAGTTTACTCGACAAACGTCATCATCGGAGAATTCTTCGGCAAATTTCTGATTGGCTGTGGCAAGTTCGGAAAATTACGAATTTCAGCTCAATGAAGCTGTGACAGGGGGGGCGAGACAATATTGAGCGGGAATATTTAAAAATTCAACTTTTTGCCTGCCTGTATAGCCACAGGTATAAAGCTGAGCGACACAGCCTATCCAAACGCGAGTTGTGAATTGAAAGTTTAAATATAAGCGCGAAAACACAGAGAAGCAGTAAAAAATGTAGAATATAGTAAAAGAAGAATATGCACCACTCTGGTAAGTAAAATGCAATTAAATTTTTGCAAAACTAGACGTGTAAAATGAATTCTCAAATCAATATTTATCAATGTGAATATAAACATACTGAAGTCAGATTTTTCCAACTTCGTTCTTTAAATTAAGATGGAGCAACAAGGAACACAAACACGTATAAGTAATCGTCTTAGTTCCATATTATGGTAAGTTTTCAGTATAGCTTTGTATTTTTTATGCGTATTTATTTAGGTAAATAGCTAATAAAAATATTCTTAAATTCATATACGTACGTATGCTAGTTCATTTCAAAATGTTGCAAACACAGAATATAATTTGTATAGTTATAACCTCGTCTGTCTTTATGATTTAAAAACCCAAACTGAAAAAACTCTCACGTTTCTCAAAAAGCTATACACTCGACAAAAATATTCATGCACAAAATATATAACGCGGTTTATTTACTTCTATGAATGATACGCCGAGAAAGTTCGGGTTTGAAACTGCGAGCGACAAAGCCGACAAAAAATATAATAATATACGGAGAAATCAGTTTTAAACACAATAAACCTTCACGATTTGCCTGTTCATGAAAACATATTGTCAACAAGATCGATATAGAGCGAAAACATGCCTATAATTTTTGTTAAAAACTCGGGCAATGTCAATGAACGTTTTAGCTGGCCTAAAAAAATATTTAATAGTCAATATACACGACCGTCGACTCGTCGAGCCGCGAACGTACGGAACGGTCTCGGCTGAGTTCGGGAAATCTCACGTACATCCATTTTCGCATCACAGGATCATTTTTTAGTCAAATTTTAAGAATAGCTATCGCAGTATATGAAAAAAAACGACCGAAAATAGTCAGGTGAATATATTTTTTGCAGAAAAGAACATAAATTCCGCCTAATGACGATGTCGATGCATGCGAGGATGCATGCATGCACATATAAAGATTCGAAAACAAACATCTGCATGAATATATAGGTATTAACAACAAAAATTATCTGTAATACATTAATTGAAGACCAAAACTTTTACCAACCTTAACTAGCTTGTCTCATAAGGCCATATATTCTTGTTTTCGCTGTAGATGCATGTAAAAACGTTTTCGAACAAAACCTTCTTCCTTCTATACTTTCAACAAACTTTGCACGTCAACTGCTCGTTCATGTGCCATATTCACCAAGAAAACGAGTTTTCAAGGTCCTTCTCGGGTTCAATCAATAAATCACTTTAGGCAATAAAGCATAAAATACTCACGATGCAAAGAATAAAACGATTAAACGACGAACTGAAAATGCACAACACATGCACACATTTTTGTTTGTGCAAACTGCAAAGCAAAAACTGGTTTGACAGGTTCTTGGGCTGTGACGTAATTTCGTGACACGCGCGCACGCTATGGAAATATTATAAATATATATGTCTAGTCCGTAGTACTTGTGCCATACATAAAGTTTTTGCTCTCTTCTGATTGGTTTCCTATTCACTATTTGCATATCAAATTTTAGGCTTATCTCTCATTATGAAGAGAGTAAAGGCGTTTTCGTTAGTCAGGGAGAAATACTGTCGCATGCGGAAAATTGCGGATTGGCGTGGAATGGAGTTCAGCTCGGGCGTGTAATTTCTTGTGTGTGGAATGGGAACGTTGTTCGGTCGCGTAGTACACTTTCCTCGACGCCAGGCTATCTAAACATCAAGAAAATTGTGAGATCTGATGGTAATGATCAACGCATTGAAAAACTAGACGAGGATTCGTTCCCTAAACTTCAGCGTTTATGTTTCAATAGGTCCGACTGGGTTGTAAATTGTTCTCTAGACCGCACTGTAATTACTTATATTAAGCTTCCAGCAACAGGAGCTATACTGCATATCGATGATCGTCCTATTTTCTGCGAGGTTTCGGCTAGTTTAAGTAAGAACACTGTGACGATTCGTACTCATGGTGACGCAGTCCGTTTGACGCAATCTGAACATACTTTTCAACACTTTGTCCCGGTGTCAGTTGAGAGTATTGATACAATTATTCGCGCAGTTGATGCCGCTTCGCTTTGCATCGGAAACGTCCTACCGAGCGAAACGAAGTCGAACGAACATTTACTGAAGTCAATTGTGCTCGGATCGAAGCTGGTAATTGTGACGTTAAGTGATTTAAAAATGGAAAAGAGATTAGTATCCACGTCATGCTTGTTGTTGCGATTTGGCGTAAAGGCCTGCGAAAATTGCCGGTATGTTTTTCAGCTGTGGAAATCTAGAGAATGGAAAAGAAATAGATCTGGAAAAGATGATGTAATTGGCAACCGTTTCATCAATGAGCGTTGTTTGGCAAGGCCTGGATTGGAAGCGAAACTTCTATCCCAAAAAGGTGAAATCGTAAGGTCACAACGCCAGTTGAAAAAATACGACGAGATGATAGAGCTAGCGGAGATTGACAGTCAAGACATGAGGGTAATATTTGATGGGATAGCAACTGATCGAGTACCAACGAACATCAAATTGTTATGGGAAATGCAAGCAAAGCAAATGTCAGCAAAATCGTCCTATGGGCATAGATGGGACCCAAGGTTTGAACATTTTTTGCATCCAATGTATTGTTGAACTGTTAGAGAATTTTAAGATTTTTTTTATTACTGTTTTCCAGAATTATTCGGTTGGCTCTTGATATTTACTGCAAGAATCCAAGGGCCTTAGACATTATGCGGCAATGTATTGTTCTACCAAGTAACCGTCTACTAAGGTAAAGAAATTTGTTCGTAATACATGATCATACTTTACATCTGGTGGTTAACGGTGTACATGCAGGTTACACCCCTGTTTGAAAGAAAGATTACACGTTACATTAATCGATCTAAATAGTATATTTTTGCTTAACAGGTATTACAAGAACTCAGTATCACAACAACCTGGCTGGAACATAGAGGTTCTTAACTGGTGCCGGAAAGAAGCTGAGAGACTTAAGTTAACAGAAGAAAATCACTGGGGTGGTTTGATCTTTGATGAAATGAAAATCCAGGCAAGCCGTTGTTAAACTCGTAACACGTATCTGTAAAAATACATTATAAATATCATGGCATGCAAAACTGACATGACATGCACTATGTATATATACATATAGTCATGCAGTTAAATTTCATATTCGATTTCATTACTAAAGACTATATATAAAGTGTTCTTTATTTTTATCTTACATGCAATTTGTAATTCCAAATGTGTTCATGTCTTTTAATAATTCGTGAATAAAAGACTGAACATTAAACAGCTAAAGAGGGTCAGTAAATTGTCTGTTGTTTAAACTGAAGTTGGTTGTGTATAAAATTAATAGTAAGCATGCAGCTTTGTCTCTTAGGAAGATTTGCAGATGAAGGTCAGAGATGGAAAGCATGAATTAGTTGGTATGGTAGAACTTGGTCAATTTCATAATGACGTGAAGCACATTGAAACAGGTATTTCGCATGAATATAGCGTGATGCATCATGCGTGAACTAGAGAATGTCAATTATGAAATCTTTGTAATGTTAAAACAATTAATTAAGGGTAATCTGTTCAAGTAAGAGAAGTGTATAATACGGTTTATATACAGATGTATACATATGTATACTATGTTGTAGGATCACAAGCTGCACAAATCGCTACACATATCCTGCAATTCATATTCCTCAGTGATGGTGGATTCAGGTTTCCAGTTGCGCATTTCCCAACGGCCCAGTGTCCTCCTTCAACGTTATATTTTAAATTTTGGGAAGGAGTATTGCTCATGAAGCAAGCTGGATTTACGTATGTTGTTTTTACGAGGTTTTCATGATATAAAGAGCTTAATATTATATATATATATATATATATATATATATATATTATAATTATATTAGCTATAATATATATATATATATATATATATATATATATATATATATATATATATATATATATATATATATATATATAATATATATATATATATATATAAATATATATATATATATATATTATATATATATATATATATATATATATATATATATATATATATATATATATATATATATATATATATATATATATATTGGTATCTGCCTTATTTTTGGTAAAGATGATAAGAGTCAAGCTTTTTTATTCTCCTACATATACTAGCATTTATCACTCGATATGCGATGGTGGTGATTCAAACAGACAGTTCATTAAGATGCACTTTACCGATCACAACCCCATCGATGATCATTTTGCTACAACTAACATGATAACGGGAGATCGTACAGTGTTTATTATGGACTGCAAGGTAAATTTATTCAATCATTATATAGTAGGCTATGACCATATGAGTTCGTATATGCTTAAAATCTTGAAAACCTTAAAAGGTGCATGGCAAAATACATGAGGCCACATGCAGTATTTAAGAATTCTCTCCTGGAACGTCACATTCATGCCCTGTAATAATTGTTTTCTTATGATTTATTTTCTTGTAATAAATTTAATTAGCATAAATTCAAGAAACTGAGAAACAACCTTGAAAAAAGTTCGTTAAGTGGGACTGTCAGGTGTTTTACCAAAGCTGGGCAGCATATATTCTGGGCGTACTGGAAAGAAGCTTACGAATGGGATCAGAGGAGCAACTCCTGCCCAATTCACGAGAAACTAACGGAGGATCATTTTGTGTTAACGCCAAGTTCACGTATGCGAAACAGCCTTGCAGAAGACTTACTGGATAAGAGGATGTATCATTTAATGAAGGTATGAAAGTGGATAAAAATTTAGATACATGCAAATAATACAGTACTATATTTTATATATATATATATATATATATATATATATATTGAATTATAGGCATACAAAGCTTATCTATCAACGGTAGAAGATGGTAACCCGAACAAACTCGATCAATCGATCTTGTTTCTGTTGCACACAAGCCGTATGGTGGAGTTGTTTTCGGACAAACATGTTATTTATCAAATGAATGACATTCGTCTGCACTATCTGTACGAAGCATTGCAATTCTTTCGTGATTGGTATGAAGAGACACAGGCCTCAAAGAATTGGAAGCACTTCCTCTCGACCAAGTTGTGGTTTGACCTAAATTCGATGGTTCTCGGATTCTGTTTCTTGGTACGTATGAAACTGCAACGATTTTCCGGAAGCGTAGTGAAACCCAGCATTATAAATCAAGATGTCGTAGAAAACCATTTTTGTCAGCTAAGAGCAGCGAATGGGCAGAACGAAAACCCCACCTATCTCTTGACAGAGTCTACTCAAAATTCCATAATATTCGGACAAGCAACGATAAGCAAAAAATCAAATACAGGATGCACGAGAAATCATGTTTTCACCGAACTCCCTAAGGACAGCGGACTATTTAGCGGAAGGAAGTAATGCTACGTCATTCAGATTGGAAAAGGCAGTTAATTAGCTTTTATATGTATAAAAGCAACGTGTTAATACTGATGCTAATACCTTTTTAAAATTTGAAACTGAATTAATTGCAACAATTTATAGTTTAATGATTAGCAAGGTTGCCTATAATCAAAAATGATGTACATTGGAATAATAGCAGTCAGTGTCATATTGTTGTCCAGTATATGACCCCGATAGCATGATAAATCATCAATATTAACAAACGTATTATATATAATTGTACTGAAAACAGATAAATTACACATTCACGTGATATTTTGTTCATTCAACGTCATAACATATTTATATATCTTTAAATGTTTGCCGATGGCAATTGTGAATAATAATTTATAATTCAATTAACCAATATATAACTGTGTTATGGCACATATTCTGCATGTGTCTTAATTTTCAATAATAAGAAAAAATTAATGGCGAATGCATGTTTAACCGACTGTGCCAAGGACTGTGGTTCATGAGTGTTTAGATACGATGCAACCTTAATACGGGAACTTTGACTGAGTTTTGCTGATCTTGAAGAACGACAGTATACATAGATGTGACCTGATGTTGAGGCATAATTTCGCATTGTGGGATTTTCCCAGAGAGAGCCGTTGATAACTTTCCTTTATTCCATCTTGATATATACGGAACATCGTATGCGTCGCAAAGAATGTGTAATTCCTTCTTGGTGTATAGGCGAACGAGTCCTCTGTCACCTATTTCAGTGACAAGAGCTAACAGGCGAACGTGTGAGTATCGCTTGCCAATACTTCGGTCCTGCTCGATTTGCTTTAAAGAGACTTTCATCTTTTTCTCTTTTGCTTTCTCTTTACGCTGTAAGACAGCTTTTCGATGTGCCATCGACTTTTGAATGTGATAATCTCGGCGAAAATCACGGAAAAATTGCCCTGCACCCATCCTCATGTAACGCGTGACGACATCTACATACATTTCTTGCACCAAAGGAATCTGAAATGATAAGAATGTTTGTGTTATTACTTGAGTTGTACTTTTCAAATGCATAAGGAATACATATATAAATCAGATATAATAAAAGTACCTGTTTTTCGTGTTCTGTCAACTCAAAGCAGTTAGCAAAAAGCTCTTCTAAATCCTTATCCTCGCAGACTTCATTAATTGAAATCTGCACTACGTTAGCCTTCAAACAATCCAGCCTTTTCTTGTTAATTTTTTCCACTCTTGTTTGCTCAAGTGACATAAAGAAAGCGTGGGCTTCATCGCTAATGTGCAGTAGACCTCTTTCTCGAAACTGCCTACTTTCAGTTACGTTGAGTGTTTCTGGGTCGGATGTTGACGATTGAAGGACCGACAGAGGAATCACAACGTTGTCCTCGAGAAGCTGCGCCTTGGTCAACTCTTTCTTAACCTTAGCTAACAAAGCAGATGATTCACACGTTTTATGGGTCATCGCATACTTTCGTGACTTCTCTAGTGACTTTCTTATGGCCCATCCTCCGACATATCTTATCTTGGCTTTACCTTCTGGCCCCATCATGGATACTTGAAAAGGTAGTGGGTCCTCTACTTCCTGTCTGTGCACGATCTTTGCAACCTCGGACGTTAAAAGATGGTGTAGATGAAAAACCAATTTCATACAAACAGCTCTCTGGCCATCAGTGATATCTTGCCATGTACGAACATTAAACGCCTTCATTACGTCTCTTTGATATGCACTGGTAAAAAACATTGCATGTAACTTCGTTGTCGTTAATGTAAAGTTTGCGTTCGTCATGCGCGTTTCCTCCTCGTTTTCTACCAGATAGTTCTGGAAATTCTCCGCAATTCTACACCAAAATATTCCAACGAGAAATTGGAATGTTTCCAAATTTTCAAGAGCATAGGCTGCTGCACACGACATTGACTTGCTTAGTTGGTCTTGGCAATTGTTATCCTTAATCAAAGTCTTGAAAAATTCCTTGGCAGAAAATTGAGATGGAGGAGTGGATAGCTTTTGGCGTTGTTCCAGTAGACACAACAAAATGTGTTCGAGGCTTACTTCGATACCATCTTCCGTAGTATCAGATTCAAAATGTTCTTTCGGATCTTGACAAACTTTGGTGTCAGTGTTTGTTTCATCTACCGCTAAATATTCAAAAGTGTCGTCCATTTCGTTAAACTCAAGCTCATCAATCTCGCGGGTTTTACAACAATTGAAGGTCGGCATCATGTTTTCTGTTTGGGAAGTCATGATATCAGATAATGAAGAGGGCGGCGGCAATAAGAAGCGCGTTCTAAACCCAATGACTTGTAACGTAGCTTCACGCTTTACTCGGGATAATGCAACATACGTCTGACCAGGAATAAATTCCTGCGAACAATGCACAACAACATTCTGATCCAGTGTCAAGCTTTGGGCCTTGTGAACAGTTATCGCGTAGCTAAGTGATAGCGGAAATTGAGTACGACTCCCTAGCACCTTACCGTCCTTGTTATAGCTGTACCATGTTTGGCGGTCCAAAGGGACAACACCAACTTGAGGAAAATCTACTAGCAATTGTTCGTTTTGAACACCGACGAACTGACCACAATAACCGTTCCTTAACTTGGAATTGACATTGAAAAGAAGCACGACTCTACATCCAGGCTTTAGAGATAGCACAGCGTCGATGGTTCTGTCAAGTAGCTTGGCATTGCCATTATCAATACTCCTGAAACTGATTTGAGAGCCATCGAGAGAAGCCAGAATTTCAGCATTGTGAACATAGACGGGTAAACGTTTGAAGTATATATGGAGAGGAGGTTTATTGTCGGTTCCAGCGCATTCACGGGCTAATGAAGTCAAGTAATCTTCTGTTTCCTTCTCGCATTTTCCCAATCGTATTTCATCAAGAGCATGTTTGAGGCGAATTTCTGCCTCATCTTGTCGCAGTATCTCGGTTAGTTCGTATCGGTGTGGAAAGACTGTTTGGAACAGATTGCTCTCATAAATCGGAATACCAGAATCAATCACATTAGGTATTGGCTTCAATTGCCAAAAGTCCCCAACCAAAATTACTTGAATTCCACCAAAGGCCAAATCGTTCTTTTTAATTTTCTGATTGATAACGTTAACCAAGTTGAACAAGCGTTCACTAGACATGGATATTTCATCCCAAATCAGAACATCGCAATCCCTCAGATCTTCAATGACATTTTCTTTTTGAAGGCATCGATCAATTAGCCTATGCGCCGGTAATTGGGCTGTCTGCAAACCAAATTGTGAATGGACAGTGTTAGCCATTTCCCCGAAAGTCTCACATGCGATGCCTGTTGAACAAACTATTCGCGTATTCTGACCTCTTTTATCTAGCTCTCTCTTAATTTCATTGACTAGCACAGATTTTCCAACACCTGCACGACCTAATATGCAAACATTGTGCCCTTTTATGGCGACATCAAAAATGTGTCGTTGTTTTGATGTAAGAATAAGTTGCTTTGACATTCCAATGTATTAATGTACACCCATTCAGGAGTCTGCAAAATCAGAAGAGAGCAAAAACTTTATGTATGGCACAAGTACTACGGACTAGACATATATATTTATAATATTTCCATAGCGTGCGCGCGTGTCACGAAATTACGTCACAGCCCAAGAACCTGTCAAACCAGTTTTTGCTTTGCAGTTTGCACAAACAAAAATGTGTGCATGTGTTGTGCATTTTCAGTTCGTCGTTTAATCGTTTTATTCTTTGCATCGTGAGTATTTTATGCTTTATTGCCTAAAGTGATTTATTGATTGAACCCGAGAAGGACCTTGAAAACTCGTTTTCTTGGTGAATATGGCACATGAACGAGCAGTTGACGTGCAAAGTTTGTTGAAAGTATAGAAGGAAGAAGGTTTTGTTCGAAAACGTTTTTACATGCATCTACAGCGAAAACAAGAATATATGGCCTTATGAGACAAGCTAGTTAAGGTTGGTAAAAGTTTTGGTCTTCAATTAATGTATTACAGATAATTTTTGTTGTTAATACCTATATATTCATGCAGATGTTTGTTTTCGAATCTTTATATGTGCATGCATGCATCCTCGCATGCATCGACATCGTCATTAGGCGGAATTTATGTTCTTTTCTGCAAAAAATATATTCACCTGACTATTTTCGGTCGTTTTTTTTCATATACTGCGATAGCTATTCTTAAAATTTGACTAAAAAATGATCCTGTGATGCGAAAATTACGGTGGCCCACAACGGCAACACACATGAATCTATCCAGTACACAGCTATATTTCTAACTCACAAATATACTCCAGATTTACTCAAATATATTTAGAGTACAGACTGAAATTAGTGATAGAAATATATAACGTTCCGCACAGAAATATATTAACAGTACAGAAATA